CAGCTCACACCTAAAGTGATTCTTTTATAGTATTTAATTTTCTATATTTAACATGGTGTAGCGTCCTTAGCAGAATAACTTTTGAATGAGCAAAAAAGAAAAAAAATGAGTTTAAATTTAATAAATATATCATTGTTTCTGCTTAATCATATTCGATATTATGGCTCAATGTTGAAGCATCTTTTTCTTATTCCTGGAGTAAGTAATTTTTTAATCTTCAAATCCTATTTGCCATCATTCCAATCATTGATCTAACGATCCTTTTAAAAAAAATGAAACTCAGAAGGAAAAGAAAAAAAAATCGCCCACGGGCTACTCAGGTGCTAAAGGCCTCGAAGACCACCACATTTTAAAAAGGCAAGGAATCTAGTAGCAGCAGGGTCCTTGAAGAAAGAGTGTGTACTCCATGGTTTATTAGCTTTTGCAGGTGCACGCGACAAGTGGGTTTGAGAAAGTGCCCTCATCCTCATCCCGAGACGTTGATATATCTCATCATCGATACGTTGGATATTTACTTTTTTTGGAAGTTCACATTGGAACTCCGCCCACGTACCTGTGAAACAAACAAAAGGAAAAATACACTATAGAATGGGAAACTTTGTAAGAGTGTCATGTATAAAAGCTTGAGAAATGTTTGCTCCTCTTCTGTGGTTGCTCTCCTCATTGTTTGGATGTGTCAAGTTCCACTCTGCATTGCCATTAACCAAGCGGTGATTGTAATGTAGTAGTGCTGCTTGTTGGTTAGATATCGTGAACAACTATTAAAATGATTAGTACGATTAGCATTATCAATGAAAAAGATATTCCTTCGCTTTGATACAGTTTCATGTCATATAAAAACAGTACAGTAAATGTAAATTTTTTGAAGCTCTTTAACCTTGATTAAGCACGTGATTGGTGTTCTAAAATTTGTGTGATATTTCATTTTACTTAAAAAATTAGACAAAACAATACATAATTTTATTGTTCCCTTTCCTAAATTTATAAAGGTGCACAGCAGGAAAAAAAAATATAAGACAGATAATAGTAATAATAATATATATATATATATATATATATATATATATTTCCTNNNNTATATATATATATATCATTATTAATAAGAGATTATTTGTATCTAGTATTTTTAGCTTATACCTGTATTCTATTTTTCTGATTTATTTACTTATTTTCTTAGTTATTCATTTATTAACTTAATGTACTTATTCATTTATCTCCGTATTTATTTATTTTATTTATTATTTATTTTCTTACCTTATTTAATTTTTAATTAATTTGTTATTTGAGTTCATTCTATCCATCTTCATTACTTCTTTTCAAACTTTTTTAGTTACACTTATGCTATGCTGATAAGGTTTTAGTTAAAATTATGTTATGTTGTAAAATCTGAGTTAAAAATATGTTCATTATCTCTATAAAAATAAGTTAGATTTGTTGTTGTTGATTAACGTAGCAATATGGCTGCCCAATGGACTATTGGTGACGGCCTGGGAAATGTCCTTTAGGATGATCCAAAAACATGCCTTCATAATTTGAATCATCAGCAGAAGGAATGATTTTCCTGTTGTGATAGCCCGACGACCTGCTTGCGAAGTCGAGCACTTCACGGTAGAACAGTCTAAATAGGACTGATACCGCACACTCTCGGTCTCTTTTCAGGCTGGTTGAAATTTTCCTCCACCCTCAAACTGACCTCACCCAGTGATGCTTGACATTAAAATTAGAAGTTAATGAATAGTTTAATGAATAGATCAATATTAATAACATTTAGGGCTGCATAATTGTTTCCCAATTGCAAATGTGCAAAATTCAGTTCCTTATAAATTTGCGTATATAATTTCAAAGCACCTAAATTATATTTTGGTGTTTAACTATCTATTCGTATTTTAAAACATAACTAAAAATTATTATTCGAAGTCTATTCATTTTAGTTTTACCTTTCTATGTTTGTAATAACATCACTCTATTCCATCACAGGATAAGGAAATTACAGTCTTCTCTGCTGTCGTCAATCACATATTTTTACCATGTTTCTCATTCTCGAACGATTTATTCTTTCTTAAAAAACCGTCCATTTCTAGACATCCCTGTAAGCATCTTTAAATACTCTCTGTAGGCGTTTTATGAAGCGATATCGAGATGTGTTTGAAAGACACTCTTCAAACATTCGTGGCACGTGGAAGGCGTAAGGTGAGAATTATGTTTTATGATGAGGAAAAAAAAATTTTTTTTACCTCAACTTTGGGCATTAAAGGATCTCTTGTATCTAAACATATAACTTTCTTGAGAGATCTTTTGTCACTGACTTCCGTTTATTATGACTTTATTTCATTGAGGGGGTGTCGGCCACTCTCAACTGTGTTGAAGTTTGTGCTTCATAAACATGATCTTCCTTGTAATCTTTCTGTTTAGTCTGACATCCGTAAAAAGAACTTTCCATCTGACATGGGTTTTCACTACTCGCATATTAAGATAAATCACGTATTTTCGGCTCGTGATTAGAAAAAAAGAAGTACGAAATTTTGGAATTTTTTACAGCGTTGTAATTTTTTCTCATAAAAATAGGCTTTTTTTTTTTAAATATTGTTTCGAGTTTAACAGGTGTTAGACCTGAAGTAGAAAATTAGGTTATGTTTCGCACTAAATATAACCTCATCAATAAATCGCAATTTCAACCTCATTTATATCGCAGAAAATCAACCTCATATATAGCTCAGCTATGCTTTTAGTGAAAATCGGGTGAAATTACATGCACCTCAGATTCATTTGCTTGAAGTATGGAAAATTCAAATGTGCACCTCTGAAAAAAACCTCCTTAAGTTTGTTGCTCTAAGGTAGATTTCTGTCAACCTCAAAACAACAAGTTTGAATAAAGCACATTCATACACCTTGATTATAAACCTTGAGATGCTGATTTTTTTAAAGTTGCTTTTAAAGTCTACTTCAAACAAACTTCAAATCAACCGCAGCACCTCAAATGAACCTCAAAAACACGGTAAATTTTTATTAATGGTTTGTTATATTTAAATTTTACTGCAAAATTCTACTTACTATCGTGAACGTTTAAAAAAGTTATGGCAGGCTTACGATTGCATTTATTTAAAATTCTATCAAAAAATCTCTCATTAAATAGTATCGGAAAAAGATGAAAGCAGGCTATGTATTCATAATTTAGGACCAAAAACTAATTGTAATAATTCTTTACTGGAAACTATGTAATAGAGCCATTTTCATTCAAAATTTGACAGAAGCTGTAATGATATCCAAAAAGTTTGCAGTCAAGTTGGCAGTAAAAAAAAAAATTTCATCCAATTTGCCATAATAATAAATATTCTCAAGACATTGCACAAAATTATTGATGCAAATTTCCATAACCTGTTTATTATCAAATTACATTTCTCTTCAATACCATAAACGCTAAATTATCACAGGTGCTTGACAAAATTTTTACCAGAGACAATACTTCCTTGGAATAATCCATTCAAACATTCTAATCACGTAAGAACATTTTTTTTTCTTCTTAGAAAGTGGGAAAGTTTTCTGAAATATAACAGAACATAAAGATTATTTTTGAAGGCATATCACACTTCAGTACCATAGCTTTTTTTAAAAAAAAGAAAATATCAACCTTACAGGTGTTGCAGTAAATAATGATTTCTAATGGACGCAAGTTATGACCCCTGCAATTACCCTCTTTTATGGTTCAGGCTGCTATTGCATTTTTGAGCATTTAGGGTTGTTAACACAAAATAAAATGGCGCTTTTGATGTCCTGCATACGTCATAAAGATATGATAGGATTTTATAACTACTGAAGCAGTCGAAAGATAAAATATAAGTTTTTGGCGGGTATTCCTAAAATTATTTATTTATGCCTGATTATGTTTTGAATTATTGTAATTTCGAAAGCATGGTTGACGATTAACAACTGTCCATTTCAAAGAAATATTAAGGGAAGTGTATCTCTTGGGTAATAAATATTTGGCTGTTGGTATCTGATTAAGCTTCGTTTCATTTCACAATTTAGAAAAAAAAAAGCCCAAATGATTTTATTGTTTATGACCCTCTGGCACAGATGGGACACCGGTATTCTTGCTTTCCAATTTAAATTAAAAATATATTTTGGTATATTTTTTTAATTATAAAAAACCATCTAAACGTAACTGAAAAAAATATGTTAGATTCTCAGAATTATTTTTGCTCCAAAATATAAAATCCAAAGAAAGTAGTTTGAAAACAAATTTTTTTCATTCATACTCAAAAATTTATCAATAATTGATTTTGTAAATTAAAGAAATTTTAATGATGAATAATTTTCTTTTAGATTTAAATAACTGCAAATTTTAAAAAAATATTGTTTGGAAGTGAGCTACATTTAGAAAATTTTACCTTTAGCGCAAAAAGAAACAACGGTGTCCGATGCTGTATTTCATAACCAAACAATTTTTTAAATGCTAAATATAATGTTTTTTATTTATTTTGACCTAAGCTAATACAAAATAATGAAAAAATATTAAAAATATATTTAATGAAAATTCTGTGTTAAAGGGTTAACTAAGCTATAAATATTTTTCATATATAATCTGTTTAGCATGCTTTTAAAATTTTTAATGCCATTTATTGTAAACTTACACTCGCAAAACAATGAAACACTGCATTTGATTTCGTTTTGATAAACTATTTACGAATGAAACCTTGCGCTTGGTAAAATATTGAATCGAGAGGTATTCCATAAATATTATTGTAACATCTTTTGTCATATATGCTACTTGAACACAATAACCAATCTTAATTGAAAGCAATTAATTAATGTATAATTTTATTTCATTGCATTTCATTCAAAAATTGCAATCGGTAATTAAAAATTTTAATCTACTCAAATGTCTAAACATCTACTCAAAATAACTACAATCTTTCATTCATACTTACCTATCTATTATCTTTTTTAACAGCCACTTTTCACTGTAAGTGTAGTAAATTTCATATTATTTAACTTTTCAGCGCTTGTTGAACGAGTCATCGAAAGGCATGTGTTTTCTGGAGTACAAATTCCTGGAATGGAATGGAAGATCAAAGGACACAGAGGACGAGCTGCCAGGATAAGCTATCGATACAGAGTTCTGTGCTCCCCCCACTATTATGATTACACGTGTTCCAAATTCTGCAGGCCCAGAGACGATAGGTTCGGACACTACAAATGTGACGAACAGGGGGACAAAGTGTGCCTAGATGGCTGGCAGGGTCCGAACTGCGAAACTGGTGAGTCTTAAGAGAGAAGTGTAATGCTTCACATCGACAATCTTTGTTAAGTCATAACAACTTCAATAAATTCACAAACTGTCATTATAGTGTTATTGAAATAAAAATAGGAAGAAAAAAATATTCTAAATTAAACTGATGGTCTTGAAAAATTTATAACAGGAAAACAGTTTAGGTAGTAAAACAAATCAGGAAGAAAATTCGTTGCGTAGGACAGTGTTACCCAAACTTATAACTTTTGTGTTCCTTTTCTAAATATTTCATATCGTTGTGTACCACTAATAAAAAAAATGAACTTTTTTTTTTAAAAAATATGTTTATTTTTCTTTTTTGGTACAAAGTTTTGTTCATAAGTTTATTTGCATCAGTGATATTGTTTTTGCTGTGATTAAAAATTGCACAAAAGTTAAAAATCACAATTGGCTGTTGACACCACTAATTATTAACTGATAAATTAGCAAAAAAAAAATAGCCAATACAAAAATAAGTAATCGTAAATTTTCATGGCTATCTTTGTTTTTAAATAAATTTTTTTGAAATTTTCGTTGTAAGATATTTCGCATAAGAATGCGTACTCCCGCTAAATTGTTCCCGTACCCCTTGGGGTACTCTTACCACACTTTAGGAAACACTGGCATAGGGCATACATTTTCCCACATAGTGTTCCTGCCTGTAGTTTAAAACATTTTCGACAGGTGGAGCTGCGGATAATAAACAATAAAAATGAAAGAAAAGTTATCAAATATCACATCATAGCATGCATGTCATGTTACTAAATGCGGTGGTAGATATTTTCAAAATATTATATTTTGATTTTCTACTCTCTAAAAGAAGTAAAAAAATTGTGATGTGATTTTTCATAATTTATCAAATTATTTATTATCTGCTCCGCCATCTGTCGAAAAAATTTTGAACTAAAATCAAAAATACATGGAGAAAATATTCACGCCCTGTCACTTAAATTTGATGCTAGAGGTTTTTTTTTTAATTTTTTTTTTTTTTTATTCTTAACTGTTTTTATGTTATAAATTTTTAACAAAAACATGAGTTAAATAAGTTTACATTACAATTTTGATTGAAGTAAAAAATGCTCTTTTGCTTAATGAGATAAGAATTAGGTGATAAATATTTTTTCAGGATTAAAATAATATTTTTCAAAGTATTAAGTAATAAAAATGGAAATAAAACGAGAAATCTATTAAAATAATATGACAAGAGGGAAGAAATGGGATATGATTCCATACAGTGTATAAAAGTACAAGATAAACTTAAATAAAAAAAGATTTGACCAAAGAATTTAATTTCCCATTAAATTGTTTGATAATTTTATTTTTTTTAGCATTCTTTCAAAATTTATCATAAAATTTAAAGTATAATTTTTTTTTTAATTCTACATTGTAAAATTTTCGTTTTAAGGCAACAAACTAACTTTTCATGATTTTTGACAAATAATTATTGACAGATACATATTCATTTTTTTCCAGCTGTATGTAAATTAGGTTGTCATCCAGAGCATGGCTTCTGTACTGTGCCAGGAGAATGCCAGTAAGTGAAATTTTACTTATTTCTCATTTTTATCGTTTTTAAGATTTTCATTATCATCATTACCCAATCATGGCCAATCACATAGCCCCATTTTTAGGCTCGATCTTGTAACGGCCGTGGTAGGAATGCCACATTATTTTTACCCTGATCAGACGACGTAGACAGAGCTTGAGCTGGTACCACTCTCTCCCAAACTTCCACATCACATCGAACTAGAGGAGTTTCGATCCACGACAGATTTAACGGGCATATTTTTATGAAAATTTATAGTGAATGTGTAGTTTTTAAATTGATTTAGATGCAAATCATACTTTTCAAGTTGTTTTGCCTCAGCAATTAGACTTCTCCAGCGACGGAAAAAATAAACATATATAAGAAATGTTTTCCACAACACAATGGAATAAATCGAAAATTTGAACAATTACACAATAGTGACAACAATTATACATAATAGTGACAACAATTTGCCGCGATGGCTCAGGGGATAGAGCTTCCAATGAGGCGAACTAGGTTCGAATCCCAGTCGATACGAAATCCGCATCCGGCTTCCACCGACCACAGTGTTGACGTGAAATATCCTCAGTGGTATGTGTATCATGGGTTAGAGTCCCCTTGCCGTTAGTCTAACCGTGGGAGGTTTTCGTGGTCTTCCTCTTCGTGTAACGCAAATGCGGGTTAGCTCCATCAAAAAATCCTCCACGAAGACAAATTTCTCCCAATACTCGATCCCTGAGTTCCCTTGTCTTCTGGATTGGGTTCAAAATTACAAGGTTACGGAGTTGAACATTAGTAGTCGTAAACCCATAATATTGGATCGGCTGTTCAACGACGGTTATAAAAAAAAAAGAATTATACAATAGAGTTGTAGTGACTCTGGGGATAAACTGTTCGCCTCCTAATAAGGTGAACTGGGCCGATATGAATTCCGCACCCGGTTTGCACCAACCACAATGCTTACGTAAAAATATCCTCCGTAGTAGACGGATCGTGGGTAAGAGTCCCCTTGCTGTCAGACTAACCGTGGGAGGTTAACTTACGCAGGTTTCTATATACTTATAAGCTTATATATTTATATGCACTTATATGTACTTATATGTTATATGTACTTACTATGTGCTTATATAAACTTTTGGTTTCTTCATTTTAAGATATTAAGACACTTTCTAACCAGAAATAAATAAAACTTTTCTTTATTTTTGCTTAACTGTAAGCAAAAAAAAAGAGACTTTTCCAATGCTCTTGAGTCCCCTTAAATGGTAACAAAAAAAATAATTTCTTAATAACAAAATAATAATAATAAATGAAGAAAAAAATTAACCGAAGGCTAAATTCCACCTGACGGAGAGAGGTAAAAAGAGAGGGGGGGGGGGGATCATAATTTTTAAGGAAAGTTTGTAAAGATGCAGGAGAGATAAACAAATTAAAGTTTCCTATCACGAAAATGTCGTTGTAGCAGGGGAAATAGCGATTACTTCCTGTCATTCACGGATGATATAATTACCACGCGAGATTGCCGATGCGAAATGAAGAGCTGGACGGTACATTAAAATTTACATGCAAAGATATCTTATCTATCACAGGAAAGGGCCCATAATAGTTTTCTGAGATGGTACAAAAATGCTCTTTTTGTGTTCTGTCGCGGGTGATAAAATTGCATTCATATTTAATTTTCTGGAAAATTAGCATTAAGGGTGTTTTGGAAGGTTTTGTCGTCATTTGAAATGATGCTTTTTTGTGAATAATATGCTATTTTTATAACTCCTGTGAGTTTGCAACTGTTACTCATGACTATTAGCTCAAGTTTAGCCTATCTAAAGCCAGCGTAGTCTGCACTTATTTTGAAAATTTCGGAAAGCGCCAATATAGAGAAAAGCCACAGTTCTGTGAAAATGAAAAGCATTTGTGATCTAATTTTTTAATATTTATAAACTTACTCCAATGCTGCATTACCAAGGCTCATAAAAATTTGCAAGAATAAGAAAGTGATTCTGAAAATTTTCATCTAGGTGGAAAAAAAGTCGCCAAATTGGCGATTTTTAAAAACGTTTAATAACTTTTAAAATATTTACGTTGATATAAAGCCCAGATCATTCTTCACGGCGATATTATACATATATAGTTTAAAATCATCGCACTGCCTTAAGTGTAAGGCACTTAAACTATGGCTTCTTTATTTTCTTTGACGCCATAGAACAAGAGAAACGTTTCATCGCAATTTCTGTTTCATCACCGTTGGTGTATTAAAATTTTAAGTTTGGAGAAAGATGAGTCCGGGTAAACCTACAGTAAACCTCGAAGTTTCGAATGTTGAGAAAATGTTGTCTATAATATCAAAAAACAGACTATTAAAAGGCAAACTTCCCCTTTACCTATTTCCTGCGTTTGGTTCCGCATATGTTTTCATTTTGATATTTTGAATTTTATTTTCAACACTTGAAACTTCATGATTTACACTAGGTTTTACTTGAACAACTTGAACTAATTTTAAAATTTCAAATTACTTATGGAGGGGACTGAAAATTTGCTACAAATCATTTTTCCCGTGGTATAACAGCTTCTTAAGTCTTTATAATTGCATCCTATTGATATTGTTTTAAATATGGATTGATTATCGAATATAGTAACAAGCATTAGATTAGTAGCCAATATTGGTTGAACAAGATATTTTTATATCTCCAATTGTAATATTTCTTCAAAATTATGTTTCTTTATTGTATTACTAGCCACCTAAGGCGGCCAGCTGTCCGCCACGCTGAAGGTTTTCACAAATAAAGTTTTTTAAAACATGGCAGGAAATCTGAAGATTAGTGGACAATTAAAGTGTTCCTGTCCAGCAATTTTGTCTTCATATCCAGTTCTGCTGCAGATGTGTTATAGCTCTTGAGGATGTTTGAAATTATATAGCTACAACGCTTAAGAAAAAAAAAACTAAAATGCTAAATACATGAAAAGAACACGAAAACGAATAAATTTTTTATGGTATCAATTTCTATTTCTATATAATTTTTTATGGTATCAAATTCTATTTCTATATCTGTTACGTCAAGCACTCAGGTATTATAATTTGATCTAGTTGTGCTTGTATAATTTTGATCTAGTTGCGCTTTCTACGTCATTTTGTTAACATCGTTTGGTTTGTTATTTAACATCGTTTGGTTTGTTATTTCTAAGTTAACTTTCAAAAAATTGGCTGGCATCAGCATTTTTATTCTTTAAGTTGTTTATTTTTTCTTTTGGAATTCGTTCCTTTTTAGCGAAATGTTTTTCAACCTAATCGAATTCTTTGCCGACTGTTCTCTGTATATATAAAGAAAATAAAGTAAATATTTTTAAAGTGTTGTGAAAAGAATTTTTAGTTGTACAAAGTACTACAATATCGCTATAAAAATTATCGTCTTCGCTTAAGAAAAAAAAAAAAAGAGCGTGGAAAGAAGAAGAAAAACTTATTATAACAATTATGAACAGCGACAAATATATCAAAGCGAAGCGTTCTATTTACGTATCGAATATGTTGCCACATTTTTAATACAAAAGTTAAACTTTTCTCCACTTTAATAAATGTAAACTAATGCGAACTTTACAATTAAATTATTAATTCCTTCGTATATTATTGGTTTAAGTTGTCGAAAATTAATATTTCAATTGTAAGGTTCGCATTAGCATACATTTATAAGAGTGGGGAAAAGTATATGCATTTTTTAATAGTTTTTTGAATATGGCTCTTTGAAGACGAAAAAGCAGACGAAAAGCATAGACTTACAAAATGACTGATAACTAAATAACTAATCAAAATTTTTGAAAAAGAAAAAAAATACTTCTTCATTATGTCAAAACACAATTATGGGCCGAGTTTCGTGCCCGGGCGAGGCTTCTGGGGCGATATATTGTGATTACAGACACACACACACACACACAGCCGCGTTTATTATTATGTATAGATAATTTAACTTTTATAATAACTTATTTAAACAATAATGTGAAAAATGACAGGAATATGAATTTTTTTTAAAATGATAGCGATTAAGGTTATTATCTATGTAAATATGACATAAATTTGTTATAGTATGCATCTATCTGCCTATAATAGAAAATATAAAAATCATAAGAAAGTGTTAAGGAGATAAAAGGCTTTTAAAAAACCGAAAAATGTAGAAAACCGTGGATTTTGAAGATAATAAAATATTATAATCACATATAAATTCAAATCAGAGGCCGTACTTAAATGAAAAATATTTTTGATCCTTTCCTCCCCTTTGTCACTAAGTGCCATTCTTCACCTGTCTCCCTACCCCTTGGCTTGTGATTACACGTCACACGATATTTCACTAATATATATTAGCTGTTCAGAAACAAATCACGCGTTATGGATCTCATTTCAAATTTTCTTTTTAAACTTCAAAAATGATCCTTAATGACATACGTAAACATGTCACTAATAATTATCATATATATGTACTTTTTTGATGAGAAAGATGAATAAAATAATAAGCATCATATATTTTATCTGATGATGTTAAACATTTTTATTTAGACCGAAATGTGTGATTTTACGCTTCTTGTCCCCCCTCCTCTTCTCTTGTCACAAAATCATGAACCTACTCCAAGCGTGACATCATTTGAGATGGTCCCTTATTCGATATTGAAAGTTCAATTGTGCTTTTCTAATTACTAGGTGACTAGCTAATAAGCTTAATTAATTAAAAAACATGCAATATTGCTTAATTAACCTTATCAGGGACAAAGAAAGTCGCTTGCATCATCAGTTGCGCATTAACTCTCTTAAGCATTGAAAACCTCTAAATCAATAAATTTAATTATTTAAAAAAAAAAAAGCATGCAATATTGCATTATCCGTCCCATTCAGAACCAAGAACGTCATTTACATCATTAGTCTCGTATCAAACCTCTTAAACATTGAAGCCCACACACATTCCCTTTCAAGATTTTGAGGGAATGGGCGAAAAAAAAATTTTAAATAAGCATTTTGAAAGTACTTAATCTGCTAATGCTAAATATTTTCATTTTTTCTAAGATGTGCAATGTCATACTTTTTTGTTACCATGTCCCTCTCCCTTGTTACAAAATCCTGAACTCTTTCCGAGGGTGACATCATTTGGACCGATTCCTTATTTTATATTAAAAATAAAGTTGCACTTTTCTAAAATGAAGTTAATAGTTAATAAACTTAATGAAAAAAGTCCATATTGCATAATTTACCCCATGCAGGACCAAGAACGTCACTTGCATCAAACCTCGTCAACATTGAAACCCACGTGCGTTCCATTTCAAGATACCTTAATCCAAGATGAGCGCGATAGCACTGATAAAATAATTGCAGGGAATTATCAAACCACCTTTCTTCTGCAGAGTTGGAAGAGGTGATGCAGAAAAACAACCAAATTGGAAATCCTGTTCATTCGAAGGTCCCCTAAAAGTCACCGATGTGACCTATGTCACGCCAATCTTTCTTTTTTATTTGATTCCGTGTCCATCCACCTGTGTAAAAGAAGTGGTCATCTAACCTTACCATCCTCTGGGTCGCGAACTTTTATTTTTAAATTTCCCACGGGAATCATACATTCTTGGACTCTTCTTGATGCCTTCTTACCTTGGTACCATCCCCGCCACTGCCTGGTCACGCAACGGTGACCATGCTTCGGCAATGACCGACTGTGGTGATCGGTTCGGCGAGAACTTCCTGATACACTTCTTTGATGTGCTGTTTATTAATGGGTTGATGGATTAAGATTAAAGTAGCCTTCGTAGAATTTTTATTTACGTTGTTAGCTGTATTTACGTTGTTAGTTGTTATGTTGGAATTTTTTTTTTTTTTTTTTTTTTTTATGATTAAAATTTCTCCTTTTGAAGTCCGTAAATAAGATTAATCTTCAAAAATTTAATTAGGTTTTTACATTTAATGACTAAAATGTACTCTTTTGAAGCTCTTATTTAACCCTCTCTAGTAAAGTGTCACATTGTTAACAATAAAATAATAATTAACAAACATTCCGGATAAAATTATGGTAAATGGCAATCTGAGTTTTATGGTAAAATTTTTGGGGAACAAAAAATCTGATGTACCTTAATTTTTGTGCAGTTATATTTACTGTAAAATCACTGCAATTAATTAAATAATAATATAAAAATTACGGTATAAAATTTCATGGTTAAATTGGATTTTGGGAATGCTGTACTCAGGATGCCAGTACTTTTTTCAGCAATTTCATCCGGAGTATTTTACAGTGCAAAAATGGCTTCGGAACGGCTATTCTGAAAAATATTATAAGCATGTAAAATAATTCTTTTTTTTTTTTTTTTTGTTGACTAACAAAACAAAAACAACTAAAACACGAGGATTAAAATAAGAAAAATTGAAAAGAAATTTTTCTTTTATATATATAGTCGAATTCCGATCTATTTTTCAGTTGTTTAATAAATGAATTCGTTCATTGGGGAAAAAACTACACTTAAAATCTTTTTAAAATTTAAAAAAAAAAAACTATATTATTACGAGCAATTTTTGAATATACAAGGTTGAAATTCAATAATTTCTAATCGTTGAAACTCAGATATATATGCGTAAATTGTTTTCATAAAAGTAAAACTGACCCGCAATTTTCAGTTGTTTCCCAAGGAGTTAGTTTCTGGTGGCTCCACAATTTTTAGACCAATGACATAATGGTGGCGTTATTATCAGCATTAATGAACGATCTCTTTTACTTCCTAGATAATCTTGTCTATCGAACCGAATATAACTAGGCTTCAAATCACCCTGATCTGAAACAATGCATTAAAAATGCATATTTATACATATATTTTTACTTAGCGTACATTGTTTTATAGCCACTCACGTATTTTGTTGTACCTGTAAACCTGTAACGCACAGTCAATTGATGAAAGAAAAAAAGTCCCAAATTAATTTACTTTACTTAAGCTTAATAGGCTATTGCTTGTCTTGTTGTACAATTATATCAAGCAGTTATATCAAACATTAAATCAGCAATGTAAATGGGAGAAAGAAAACTAAAAAACATTTATTTCTATTGAATATTTTGTTTGCTACTGCAAATTGCTTATTCAATTACTTCTTATCTCCGCTAACAGCTCATTTAATTCATACTGATTCACAGTTTCATTTATTTTCTTCTTTAATAAAAAGCATTGCCTAAAAATAACAACTCATTATCTGAAACATATTCGACACTTACTCGCGTTGTTTAAATAACCCTACTACCCTTACTATATTTAATTATATTATACAATAACGTTTTCTGCTACGCAAAGCTTTAGCAAGTTATTTGCAACATTAAGAAAATTAATAATTTTAGATTAAATCTTCTCATTAAAAATAATTAATAATAATCGTAATTTTTATTTAAATATTCATCATTAATCTGTTATAACAATCCAACAGGATATCAACAGGCTATTATATCAGATCATTAAAGCAGTGATGCCATTCCATAAAACTATTAAAAAAATTCCATTAAATCATCAGAGTCGTTCCTTGAAATGGTCGTTCCTTAAAGTCGTCTGATATTTTCCGTGTCTTCATGCCTACACCGGTATTTTTCTGAAGCGATGCGAAATCGCGATATTTCTTCGATGATCTAGCCTTAGTGTGGGAATCAAAAGTGCATTCACTATAGCCTTCGAAATTTAATTTCGGTACCATCTCTCTCGGAGGCACTTTCAAAGGACTATTCGATTCTGAAGAAGTAGAGGATTCAGCTCTATGCGAAGCATGTTCCTTTTTCTTCCTGGACTTTTCCTTGGATTGAGATTTATTCTTCTTTTTATCAACAACATTACAATGGGTGCAAGTCTTCCGTTCCAATTTCATACTCTTATTTGATGATTCTTCATCACCCTTCCCCTTGCCTGCAAAGGCTCTCGAGATACCAATGGTTGATTTATTAATACAGGTCATTTTGTTGTGATTACTTTTAACGCAAGGACCCACAGTAGAGATAATGCCTTCTGATGTGCTTGGGATTGGGTATGCATAAAACTTCCTATGCCTTGAGGAGCACCAACAGCCACCGATAACTAATAGTGAAATGGCGGACAAGCTCAGAGCTGCAATGGTTATAAGAGCCATTTTAAGCCAGAATAAATTATTGTTGATATCGAGATTTTCTTGGAGTTGTTTTTTGCTTGATTTAAGCTCGGAAGTTGGGTTGGAGAGTGAAATTGGTGACCTAATGGCAAATTTTTTCCTTGCTTTTAAACCAACGAAATCATTATTTTTTGATCCATGTGTTACTATTTTTGATTCAGGTATTTCTTTTTGTTCTTGAAAGCTGCTTCTTCTTAAGCTTTTGTGTCCCGAAAGTACTTGTTGAGATTCATGAAGATGATTGAGGTTATTGTTATCTTTGCCAGATTTCTGTTTTGTTTTTAAAGTCTTGTGGTGGGAAAATGGATAATTTATATCATCAGAATGAAGTCTAGAAGAAACTGGTTCATTTATGTTATTATGATGGTGTCTTGAAGAAACTGTTTCTTTCATTTTATCTTGAGTATGTCTTGTAGAAATTGATTCATCATGGTGGTGCTTTAAAGATGAGTGGCGCAAAGAATGTCGGGAATCATCCAGTCTATGGAACTGTGGTTCTGCTTCGGATGCATATTCATTATTGTTTACACTTTTGTCGCTTGAATGGTGACGGCGACGATGATGATGAATATGTGGTAATGAATATGCCGTATATAAACAAAGCATTATTATAGGGAATATTTTCATGATTTACCGTTTTTGTTGCTTGTGGTGACGCATAATACGATGGCTATTGCAGATTTCCAAGTTCAGTTTTCAAGAAAATGCTTAAAACACCAAAATATTACTGTTGTGTATGAATTGTTCCATTTCAGATTGATCGAAAATGCATTGTTTCATTTTGGCAACAGCAAATAATAAAACAATGAAACCTCTAAATAGTTTGTAATTCAATTTACTAAATTTATTGTTGGGATTTTTATTATGGAATGACGTCATCAAAAAGAATTGGTTTTTTTTCATGCATTCCAACAATTGTGTATTATTTTAATACAGTCTAAAACAAAATCCTATTACGAAATTCAACAAAATGCGTGCTAATATTATCATCAATTTAGGCTATCAGTAACAATTCATAATAAACTGCTACTCGCACATATATATGTCTCACAGTATTTTTTTTAAAAAACTAAATTCTTGATTAAATTATTTTCTTATCTTCTGAGTTTGAGTTGGGTTCTTATCTATTTCATTATGAGTAAAACGTTTAACGGTAAACGGTATCCAAAAGCATTTCATTTATCTTTACTCATTACGTTATTTACATTATCATGCTGAGAGCAATTTATGATTTTGTTTGCCAAAAGCATTTTATAATATTTTTTAGACACCTAAACTCGTATTAAACTGTTTTTGATTCTTTGCAGATGTCGTCTTGGATGGAAGTCTGAATTATGTGATCAATGCATGCCTTATCCTGGCTGCAAACACGGATATTGCAATGGATCTCCGTGGCAATGCATTTGTGATATTAACTGGGGTGGAATACTTTGCGATGGAGGTAAGCTTATTTTTTAATTGAATTATAATCCTTTGGACTTATTAATCTCCATTCTGAGCTTATTTCCGATTAAAATATTAACTTCTCAGTTAGCAATATTTTTTTGCTTAGTGTATTATTAAAAATTATTTTTATCAAATCAGAATATTTTTAATATAACAGAAAAATTTGTTTAACCATGAATCAAAATTACTTTAAATTCAATGATGGAATCATTATTTTATATTTTATAACTTCGCTGAACTGTCGACCCGACTTTGAGTTTACGACTGCCAATATTAAACTCCATAGCCTTGTAGTTTTGAACCCGATTCAGAAGACAAGGGAACTCCTGAATCAAGTATTAGGAAAAATTTGCCTACGTGGAAGACTTTTTGATGGAACTAACCCGCATGTGCGTTGCATGGTGAGGAAAACCCCGAAAATCTCCCATGGTTAGCCTGATGGCAAGGGTACTCTAACCCATGATCCGTCTACCATTGAGCTATTGAATTTGCGTCAGCACTGTAGTCGGTGCTGGTCGGCTGCGGAATTCGTATCGACTAGTCATCTTTGGGATTCGAACACAGATCACCTCTCTAGGATGTGAGCGCCCTAGCCACCACGGCTCTGAAATCTTTACTACTGTAATTTTTTTCGGTTTAAGTTGTGTAATAATACCATTTCAAGATTAATTATATATATAGTTAAAGAAAGATTAATTACCGCCTCCCATAAATTTACCTTCACTTCAATCACCAGGTTGAAAACTATTTTCCTTCGTTCTTTGCACAATAGCCTGTTATTGGCCAAGGTTGTTTCAGGCTGTAACGTAATCTATCAGGAGTAATACTCTAACCCATGGTCCTGGAGGTTCTCCAGCATGTTGCGTGATTTTTTTTAAAAAATTTTATATCGGGTATTGAACATCCTATTCAATTCTGAGTTTACTACTGTCAATGCTCACTTCCGTAACTTTTTAATTTTAAACACAACCCAGAAGACAAAGGAACTCCTGCATCAAACATTGTAAAGAACTAGCCTACACGGTGGACTTTTAATGGAACTATCCCACATTTGTGTTGCATGAAGACCGCGAAAACCTCTCACGCTTAGCCCGACGGCAAGGGGAATCTAACCCATGATCCATCTATTAAGGAGAAAATTTTACGCCAGCATTGTTGTTTGTGTGAGCCAGGAGCAAAATTCTTATAAACTTGCCACGGCTGGGATTCGAACCTAGATGATGTTCTTTTCCCTGAACCACTGCAGCTTACGTTGCGTCATTTAAAATTGTGTGTGTTCAACATTATTTATCCATCTGGTACAGGATATAAAATTGAAGCCAATTAAAAGGTTTCATTATATCCAAATACCCATGCTGTCCAAATTAAACGATTTTGATACCTCTATTTTATAACAAATTAAATCAATACATGTAAAAATAGTATTATGATTCGATTTTATTCACGTATTTTAAAAGGCATGTACGTTTAACATTCGTATTTTTCAGTCAATTCATCAAGATTAATTTTGTTAATATTCTAGAATTAAAAAGAAATGAAAAAATTAATACATTAATTTGAAAGATTTAGAAAAGAAGATACTAAATTTATAATTTTGATTCTTTTATTTCCAGACCTCAATTTTTGTGGAACCCATGAACCTTGCCAAAATGGAGGAACCTGCGTGAACGCAGCTCCTGACAATTACACCTGTAAATGTCCAGAGGGTTTCTCTGGTACTAACTGTGATATAGGTACATCTAATTGTCTTTTGCTCTTACAACAGCACATTTCATTTTATTATATCATCGGGGATAATTGAATGATTCAGACAACGATTTCATGTGCAATTTTGTATACAATTTTGTAAAATGGATTAAAATATGTTCTGTAAATCCAACTTCACTGGAATGGGTTAAAATGTATTGTATACCATCAATTTCATTGGAATGGGTTAAAAATTAATTACGTCAGTTAAAATGCAACAAATTTAGTAGATAGTAAAAGATAGATATAATTTTTTGTGGTAATATTATAAAATTCAAAGAAATTAAATATTTATTTCTTCATAATGAAAACAAAGTATAACCTTTAATAGTGTTTAAATACAGCGCATGAAAAGTGAAGTTTTTACTAGTAATTTCAGTAAGGAATCAAATCTAAGCTGTATGTAACATCAAACACAAGTTATCAAATCGCGAAGAATAAAATTAATATTTGTTTTGAATGTAAGTGATTAAAAGTAAAGTTCTAACTCTAATATAACGAAATTTTAAACTAATAATGGATCCCTAAAATGTCCAATGATTTAAAAAATCAGGAAAAAAAATATTGCTTTTCTGCATTCTTTTTAGGAAACCAGTTATTTTATTCTCAATAAGTTTCAAAATTATTTACAAAGCTCAACAGATCGCGCTACTGACAGGGAAATGAAACAACATTTTCTGTTGTATATCAGAGAACTGTTATTTTGTTAGCGTTTTTCTAGATGGCGCGAACGTTAACTGACAAAATTTGTAACAAATTAAGCATTTTCTTTTAAATTTTTTGTGTTCTGAAAATTCCTCATAATTATTCTAGTTAAAATTTAAAAGCAGTGAACTTTAAAAAATAAATAACACTTACTTGTAAATCGGTAATAGAAATAATTTCTATTTTCTTTACAGTTGACAATCCTTGTGCTTCGAATCCATGTTTGAATCAAGGCACTTGCTCAGAAATCAACAATACATTCATCTGCACGTGTTTGCCAGGATGGATTGGAAATCGTTGTCAAATCAGTAAGTACAATAACGTTTATACCCTTCACGTTTCTAAACCATATCTCATTGATTTTATAATTTTACAACCGTCGTTGAACATCTGATAGAATTTTGAGCTAAAGACTACCAACGTTCAACTCCGTAGCCTCATTGTTTTGAAATAAATCCAGAAGACAACAGGGGAACAAGTATTGGGTGAAATTTCTTTTTGATGGAACTAATCCAGATTTGTGTTACATGGTGAGCGAAAGCACGAAAACCTGGTATCAAGTGTTAGCCTGGTGGCAAGGGGGTTCTAACCTACAGCTAAGGATATTTTAAGTCAGCACTGTGGTCGGTGCGAGCCGGGAGCAGAATTCGTCACAACCAGCTTCTGTTGGGATTCAAACCTGAATCACCTCTATCTCTCTGGCAAGCGAAATATCCCCGGAGCCACCGCGGCTCATATATATGGGCTTTTATTAATTTTTTTTATAGCTGTCGTTGAGCAGCCAACCCAATATTGGGTTTACGACTACTAATATTCAACTCCGGAGCCTTCTAATTTTGAACCCAACCAACGCAGAAGACAAGAGAACTCCTGTATCAAGTATTGCACTTTTCCTTCGAGGAGGACTTTTTGATGGAACTAACCCGCATTTGCCTTTCATGGAGAGGAAAACCTCCCAAGGATAACCTGACGACAAGGGGACTGTAACCTGTGACTCGTCTACTACTGAGGATATTTTACGTCTGTGATCGTACGAACCAAGTGCGGAATTCAGTATCGCTAAGATTCAAACCCGGTTTACCTCATTGGAAGACGAACACTCTATCCCCTGAGCCACGTATAATCATTTTTAGAAACTCCGTCAAATGCTTAAAAAACTTACAAATTATGGATCGACAATTAACATTTAAGCAAAAAAGAAAGAGAAACGCTATCTAAATCTTTCGAATCATTGGAGTGACAGGCAGAATGAGAAACTTCAAAACTAGTTTGATTACCAGATGATACTTAGAGGCGTTTCTAATAATCCACTTTATAGACCTCTCTGTTTTCCTCAGCAATTGAACATGCTTTGATGTGATCAGTTTTGATTTTCTTTGTAGCAATCCATTAAATTTTGATATCGTTTTGTTCTTTTTTCTTGTTCAAACGTGAATTTTCACCCTTAAACTGTATATTTTTTTGACGATGATGCAAATTACGCACAGATAAAGTACAGGTACAAAATACAAACACGCATTAAGCACTATAATTGCGTAGCACCCTGTATATGGTGATAATTTTTAATAGTTTGCATTCGAAAAAAGATATTCAGAATACTGTTGGTGCCCTGTGTTAGTTCAGTTTTGCTCTTACAAAACGATGTGCTGAGCTTTGATTTCAGCAAACTCATATTAATATTTATTTATTTTTCATTTAGATATAAATGAATGTGATTCAGATCCTTGCGAGAATGGGGGAACTTGCTTAGATTTGGTCAATGGATATCGTTGTTTGTGTGATTCTGGATGGGAAGGAAAACAATGCCAATATGGTAAAATATAACTATTTTTTCAACAGTTGAAATATATTTTATTTTTAAGAATAAAAATCAATGAAATTGTAATTTAATAGCAATTATTTATCATTTCAATGCTATTTTAATAAATATGCCCTGCTTTATTGAATAAATGTAAGAAATTGTAAATTTTGTTCATTGCGTATTGTTCTCGTGGCTTTTAAAAATAAATCAGTCAGTAAATTGGTACCTTTTTATACTAGGTATAAATATTCCTACTACTATATACTTGTAAATATGCATATGTTGTTTTTGTTGTTGTTCCGTCTGCTTTATTAAATAAATTTAAAATTTGTACGCCTGCTTATTATTAATATTCTTATTTATCATTGATGCATAAATTTGTGAAATGGTGCACATTGTTTATTTATTTTTCTTTTATTAAATAAATTTGGGAATTAGTACTTTTTTTACTTAAGATTGATATTCTTAATCCTCTATGCTTGATTACATAATTTGTGAATTGTTATTATTTTATTATTGTTACTATTATACTTATTGCAATAAAATTAGCGCACTTAAGAAGAGCTGTCAGAATAAAATGAAATCCACTGTGTTCTTTTTTGAAGTGGTGTTGTTCTCGACGTGATTCGACTGCAACCGAATAGAACCTAGTCGCCTTTAGTGATGAATCCTAATTTAATTTGGACAATGATGACCATCCTGTACAAGTGTGAAGACCCCGTGGTAAACGCCTCAACCACGCCTCTGCTTCACAGCAGCACACCACCTCTAGAGCCAGTTTGATAATATGTGGTGCCATCGTATATGACAAACTATCACCCTTAATATTGATTCCATGGTGCCAGCGGTACATACGCGATATTCCTTTGCTACATTTGACGCCAATTATGACAGAGTTTTCAGAAGCCATTTTTCAACTAGGCAATGCTCAGCCACTGGCAGCAAGGGTGTCACAGGAATTCCTCCACCACATTACCACCCTTCAGTGGCCTACCCGATCCCCAGATTTGTCATCGAACGAGCATACGCACTTACGACGGCAACTTGGACGGCTTCCGAGTTTAGTCCATTTAGCCGCGTTTTTATAGCAACTGTGGAATGAGATGGCGCAGGACATCACTATAAGGGACTTATATGCTTTAACCATACCGCATCCTGCATTTGCGCAAGAGGTGGCCAAAGAGGGTACTAAAACCTCCATTAATTTTTATTTTTCCCCTTAATAAATTGTTATTTAGCTTATATATATATATATATATATATATCTAGAANTATATATATATATATGTTGTAATGTTATTGGATTGTTTTCTTTCTCATTAATCACATACAAAAATAACAAAAGTTTTTTTTTAATTATTTTTTTAAAGATGCTGATGAATGCAGTAATAAGCCATGTGTGAACGCCAAAGGATGCCACAATTTGGTTGGTGACTACCAATGCACATGTCTGCCTGGCTGGAGTGGAAAAAATTGTGACTACAACCTCAACGATTGCCTTGGCCAGTGCTTAAATGGTGCTACTTGCATTGATTTAGTCAACGATTACCACTGTGCTTGCTTACCGGGATTCACCGGACGAGAGTGTCAAACGAACATCAATGATTGTGCAAGCAATCCCTGCTTAAATGGAGGAAAATGTCTCGATTTAGTTGCAGATTATCGATGCATTTGTCCTGTGGGTTATAAAGGACATCGTTGTGAGGTAAATATTATTTTCTCCTTTCAAAGCATTAAGTCTTTCAAATCCAAAAAGCAAATCACCTCGTTTATCAAAGACGAAGATTGGTGACTGTTCAAAAATAAAATAGAGTAGTAAACTGTGTAGTGCAAAGTAGTGCCATGTAGTAAACTCTCAAAGCATCCGCAACATGTTAGAAAAATTTAAAAAAGTGCTTTGAGTGTTGTTATAATTTAATGGATGGAATAAATGGCACTAAATATCAAAATATCACGAACATTTACATAAGATTCAGAGGAAAAAGTTTATTTAAATTTTATGTTATAGATATGATTGCAGTCAAATTTTTACACTTTTTTTTCCTCGAGCTGACATATTTAGCTTCTAAATTTCATTGCATTTGATCACTTTTGTTTGTTCCTGTTTTTTTCGGCTAAAAATGATATACATTAACTAAAAGTTATTTTAAATTTTATTTTTAAATTGTGGTAGCTTGTTATAATGCGAATTACGTAAAACTATGCTTAGTAAAAAATCAAAGATGTTTTAAAATGTTTTGAAAATGTACTTGCTCTATTTGAAACAAAGATCATTGATTTTAAATGATTTTTTTTTACCCTTTAAAGATTGATGACGATCTGTGCCATCCGAATCCTTGCCATAATGGTGCATCTTGCCTTAATATGCAGTTCGATTACACTTGTGTTTGTCCTCCTGGATTTCGAGGAAAAAACTGCTCAGCTCCAAAAACAGAGTGCCAAAACCCTCCTTGTGAAAGTAAGTTCTTCTTTGCCATAAAAGTTTCTAGTTTCCAGCAAATGGATCTAAACACACCTAATTTGGAAGAAGGGGAATGTAAAAAATTTTTTTTTCATTTATGCATTTCATTAACAGAAATTAAGATGTTTAAAGGGCATATTTTGAAAATTTCGTTGTTAATCTTATTTCCTGTAGGTATAAGTCAGTGAAGCACAAGTTAAGCAGCCTGTAATATAGTTTCGAAAAACTTCAACGCACATTTTTCAAGCTGTCATTTCTTAAGGTTTAGTGAACCAATTAGAGTCTTTTTTTTTAATGGAAAATGCGTAATTTTTTTTCAGTATTGTATATTTTTATACTTTAAAAAATGGTCTAAAATGAATAGTTCTAGTTCCTACTGAAATGGTTTCAGTGTCAAAATTAAGAAAGTACTTTTTAATTTACTTCTTGAAATTTACTGCTAGAAATTAATTTACGTCTTCTTTGTTAAAACCAACAGACAGGAAAGAAGTTGATTGAAAACTACCAAAGAACAGCCTATTACTTACGTTTTTCGAAATATTTCAGTAGTATGCTAATTAATCTAATAAACAGTTATAATTGAAGTTTTCGTTCCTGGGAAATATATATATATATANTATATATATATATATATATATATTGTAACCATTGCACTTAATACTCATTGCATGTAACATACTTTGTAAATGTTAATACTATGTCTATGTCATATATTTTTGAATTCAATTCATAAATATATAACAATCGTCATTTTTTGAATTTATCATTGATAACAAAATTTATTTCTGTATTCCCTTTTTCAGTCATCAGAAACAGATGTGCTACTACGTCTCTCAATTCTGGTTTGAGACATTTAACCTCTACTATTTGTGGTGATCATGGTAAATGTGCGAATGACAACATCGGTGGGTACACGTGCGTTTGTGATCCCGGTTACACAGGACAGTACTGCCATGAAAGTAAGTTAAAAAATGTTCATTGTATTAACCGCTGAAATTTAAATTATGTGTAGCGGAAGATAAAAATAATCAATGTTAAAATTTAAATAACAGTTTGTACAGTTTAGATAACAGTTTTACCTTGTTTGTGGTTGTAATTTGACTTTGAATTAAGTCCTCACACGACTTAACATTGCTCTTGCAATTAATAATGATTATATATAAGATTGTAATGAATAATGACTTTGTAATTAATTATTATATTATCTTATAATGTACTTTTCTGAAAAGTGAATCCATTTCATTTTTTATTTTTGAGACTTATAAGATAAACGAGTTGGTGGATTTTTATGAGTGCGTTGGAAAAACGGGGGTTTACTATGTTTGTAGTTGTAATTTGACTTGGACATAAGTCCCCACATGACTTAACATTGTTTATTATGTTAAGTCAAATTATATATTAATATATTACTAATGATTATATTTTGCAAACAAATTAACTCAACTTGTACATATCACACTTAAGAAAAAAAACATTTAACTAAAATAATGAAATTTAAAATACGAAGTTTCTTGCTGCATTTTTGTTCCAAATAAGAAATTTTCTAAAAATGAAATAGTTCATTGAATGTTTTTAAATTTTATTTTAAAGGGTTTTTCCTTATATGGTGTTTAGTCTTGTAAAGTCTAAACAGGCTTTTATAACAGGCCTTTTACGAAAAAAATAATTTTAATTTCGATATAATTTAAACAGAAATAAGATGTGTGCATTATTTAAAAAAAACTACAATTTCAACTTGCATTATTTTTGTTAGGAAAAAATATTTGGGTATCGATAATTTTTCTACGTAAATAAGGTAGCTGCGTTTTTTATTGTTAAACCAATTTGCTACAGCTACTTGTGATTTTCAATGATTTCCAATTTTTTAATGGAAAAAAGAAAGGTTGAAGATCGATACAATAAGGACTTAGCTGTACTTTCTGACAGTTATAACATAGATAGCATTATTAAAATTACAAAAATGGAGCTACCTTCATTATCAAACAGGATTTTCAATTATTAATTTATAGTGTCCAGGAATTCCTTATCTATAAAGCACTATTCTTATTTTCCAGATATAAATGATTGCATCCCGTCTCCCTGTCAAAATGGTGGCACTTGCGTCGATGGTTTAAATTCTTTTCAGTGTTTCTGCCAAGAAGGTTGGGAAGGACGATACTGTCAAATCAGTAAGCATCAAAGCATTTTTATCACTATTTCTTACAGTCTGTTACAGTCAACAACATTGTCACTAAAAATTTTTGCAAATTATTTTAGATAAAAATGACTGCGAGCCAAATCCGTGCAAAAACAATGGCAGCTGCATTGATGCAATTGCCGACTTTATCTGCAACTGCAAAGACAACTGGAAGGGAAAGACTTGCACGCTGCGTAAGTAAACATTTCAAAATGCTAATTTTATGCCTCTTTTTTTGTGCTAATCAAAGTAACGTGTAATGTTTATTACTTGCTTTAATGAAAGTGTCATTATCTTTATTTCAATAGGGCATTTTCATTGTGAAAGAACCACTTGTCAAAATGGGGGAACCTGCATTGACATGGGTGAAACGTTCAGGTGTCAGTGTAAATCTGGATGGGAAGGTCATACTTGTCAAATAGGTAAATAGAAATCTAACATAAGATTCATTTATTTTTGCAAATTAATATTTTTTATACAATTTTATAACAATACGTGTGTTAATATTTTGAATCTAAAAATCATTATCATAAAATCATTATTATCATCTCAAAGCATTTTCCGAACATTAGTAATTAAATGTCGTTAAGTTTTGACTAATGGAAGATAGTGGAAACAGACTGATTTTTTAAAGATGGAGGGAAATGAAAATGTATGTTGATATTTTGTAAAACTAAAGTTTTTATGGATGAAGCCCATTTTTACTTTATTTTAAGTGTGTTATCTAAGAAGGTAATTTAAAAATTAAAAATACAATTACCAAAAGGTTTTAGACAGTTATGAAAAAAAACAAAAAAAAACTGTTATAGCATAATTTCAAAACTGGTTTTCTAATATTCTCAAAACACTACTTTCTCTTTAATACTACTTATTTTATTCAATGCATCCAGTTATCGAGTTATTATAAGATTTATTTTTCAATTTTTAAAACAATCAGCAATTACGAAATAATGCTGTGTATTCAATATAAATCGATACAGAATTATTCGTCGATCTTTAATTAAATAATTTTTCATTTGATAAAATAATTTAACTTATCACGATTTTCTTAATCACAGCCACAGCCCATAATATATATTTTTAAACTCCTTGTCGAAAATGAAGCTAAAAAGTACGCTTTTGAGGTTTCAAATTATAGTATAAAGAAACAAAGAACCAAAACTGCTATCGAAATTTGATGAATCATTACTGAGGAAGATGGGATTAAAAATATAAAAATTAACTTGGTTGCCAGGTTAAATTTGAGTGTCTTTTTAACAATTCATCGCTTTTACCTTCGTCTTAGTTTTTCCTAGTGAAAGGTTTTAGATATAGTTTTTCCTAGTGTAAACGTTTTAGATATAGTTTTTCCTAGTGAAAACGTTTTAGATACAGTTTTTCCTAGTGAAAACGTTTAAGATATTTTTAATCTCGCTTTTACCATTTGTGACTTATCCAGTTTTAGTTAATTTTTTTCCACCTCTTTTCACAATTATTCAAAGACCTGTATTAAGAGTGGTGTTAAGATAACACCTATCATACGAATGTGCAACCAATAGAGTCTTATTTTACATCATCACAAGTGCTATGCATGTAAATTATATTCACATCTCTATTTTGCTCAAAAATATAATAATTGTCGGTCATTAAATTACAGCTAAAAATCCAAGCTGTCATTCTAATCCTTGCATGAATGGAGCTACTTGCGTAAATATCGGTACTAGTTTTCTTTGCATCTGTCGAGAAGGATATGAAGGTCCTTTGTGTCAATACGGTAAATATAAAACTATCATTTATTTATAAAGAACGCATATCAAAGAAAACAAAAAGCATTAATTGTACCATCTTTTCTACTTGAAAAACAGATTCAGATGACTGCAATCCCAATCCTTGTCACAACAACGGAACTTGTATCGATGGCGTCAATTGGTTTATGTGTAAGTGTGCCCATGGCTTTATTGGACCTGATTGCCGGATAAACATCAATGAATGTGCTTCGTCCCCTTGTGCTCATGGTAGCACGTGCATTGACGGAATCGGGAGTTACAAGTGCATATGTCCAAGTTACGTCACTGGTTCACATTGCAACATATGTAAGTTCCAAAATTTACAACATTATATTTTTTATATTTGACTTGAGAACTATATGCTGTTAAGTGAAAAAAACATTTTTTATTAATTTATTCATTTGTATTTAAAAATGTATGATTAAAATTTAGAAGTACAGGATGATATTGAATGGAGATGCTTAATTTAACGCGAATACGTAAAGATAAAAGTTGGTTAAAAACTTCATTCACTTCAAAAAAATAAAGACGGTAGTTAAATTACCATCTTTGCATATTTTGAAGCCAATGACGTTCCAATCAAATTTATCATGAACGCCTTACAGTGAGAAATTTTTTTTATCCTGTTGCATGAAATTTTTTTAACAGATCTTAAATACTTTATTTCTATCGTTGATTTCAAATCTGTAACCGGTTTCACCCTATAAGCTATATTTTTTTAATGATACTTTTAGTTGTTTTTTTTTAAATCAAAATGTACAATTTTAAGAACATTATATGTTACAGAAATTGAATTTTGAGACAAACTACTAGGAAAGTTAGGGCAAATCATCAATGATTAAAATTGCGTAGAAACCCATGCGTCGCTAGGGGTGCTTTCCAATTATGCACTGTTTCTTCCTGTGCTTCTAGACAGGTCATAATTGGAAAGTTCCCTTAGTCGTCGACAATGACATTTCCGAGCATGGCTTCTTATGCAATTCTAATCCTGATGATGTGCTCTAACATTTCAACTCTCTCTAAGTTCAGAAAAAATTTCTTTGTTCATAGTATACGTGCGTATTAATGAAATTTTTCAAAAAATTCCTAAATCTTAAATACAATTGCTTTTTGTTATAATAATAATAGTTTCTTATAACAGTTTAAATAGTTTTTTTTAATCATTTACAGCATTACTACCTTCTGATGATACTGATTACTGTATGTGGAAAAATCAAGTACATCCTGAAAACAGTATATGGAATGATGACTGTAATACGTGCATGTGTATTAAAGGGCAAACTCAATGTACAAAGGTAAGAATTCGTATGTTTATAGCTGTGAAGTTTGTTGTTTCACTTCAACATGATTTTTCGAAACTCTTTCGCAAAGGAAAAGGAAAATATAAGCCACAGTTTAAGGGTCTTACACTTGAAACGAAACTATAATTTTAAACGATTTATGCCTTCTTGCTGTAAAGAATTATCTGGGCCTTAGAACGGACAAATAACTAAAATATTTTTAAGGTTATTAAAATTTTTTAAAAATTGCCAATTTGGCGTCATTTTTCCCGTTTGATAAAAATTATCAAAATCAATGCTTTATTCTCCTTTTTCACAAATTTCTATGAGCTTTTTTCCTAAATTTATTTCTTGAAAGCTTACCTCAGTTATGAAAATAGCATGGCAGTTATGAAAATAGCATGAATAGCAAAAAAGCATCATTTCATGCGACTACAGAGCCTTCAAAAAACAGCCTTTAGTTGTAAGATATGTATGACTAAGTACGTACATATAATTACTTTTTTAAAATTTTTATGCCGTACTCCAAAGCCATTCTGATTTTTAGATGAACTTCATGATTGCATTGAAAAACAACATAAACATTTTGTACGCTAATATCGAAAAATATTTATATTGTGATTTTTGAAGGGTGGACCAGAATTTTCTTAACAATTTTGCCTCTAAAGATTGTGCCTAACATAAATAAAATACATATGTTCTGCTGTCTGATGTCTTCGAAACAAGTAAAACGTTTTTATGCAGAAAAAAAATAAAGTAAACAAATAAAATTCAAGCTTAGCTTAGCTTTGATTTTTCATTGGTGGTTATAGATTCACGCCCTTATAGCAGGTAAAAATTCGAGAGATAATCAATCTGCATTTAAGAAATAAATATATTTCTGCTCTTTAATAAATCGCTGACGATTTTTTTGCATATTCCATTAAGGAATATTTAAATTTTATTTCTGCCCTCTGACTAAAAAAGATACATATTAAAACTTATACAGTGATAAATAATAGGCGATCACGACGAAAATTTCTCAATTAACTACTTGTTTGCAGTTGCTATCTTTAGAAATTGTTCTTAGAAGCTGGATATTTCAATTATGCATATTATACTTCATACAATGATAAATAATATGCTATTTAGAGGAAAATATCTCTATTGGTCACTTGTATTGCAAATGTCCTCAGAAATCCTACTTGAAAATTGGATATATATATACAGAGAAAATATGGAAAAAATGTATAACGTTTTAAAAAGAGAAGAAGAAAAAGATTTTAAATGTTTTTAAAAAAAAATTGAAGAGCCGGAAAGCAAAATAAGCAAAAGATGTTATCTCGTCTTCAGTTCGAAGAAATTTCGCTATAAATCTCGAGAGCTGGAAGCTAGATTACTCAAGTCGAAAGTTTATCTTCCAATGTTCTCTTGCTACAAGTATTCCGCCAACCACCTCTTTTAACCGTAAAAATGTTTCATACATTAGATGCGTTATAAGACGTAACACCCTGAAAGATAATCACTTGTTCATAGCATTAAAACAGATGTTTGCATTTAAGACTTTTAACTTATGTCTTTCCCTTATTATTATTTATAATAAGTACACTCTATAACAAAAAAATCGACGCACCAAGAAGGAGTTGTCCGATTGAAACAAAAATTGGTGGATAGGAAGACAATGTACAGAATAGTAAATGATTAAAATTTCAGAACAATTGAATAATTTATTGCAGAGTTACAGTAACAAGTTCAATAAGGTGTTGACCCCCTCTAGCCTGGATACAAGCTGCCACGCGGCATGGCATAGACCGATAAAGCTCCCGGATGGTCTCTTGCGGTATTTCCTGCCAAATTCGATCCAATTGTCGAACGAGGTCATCAACATTTCGTGCCAGATGCAATCGCCTTCCCATCATATCCCAGACATGCTCGATGGGAGAGAGATCTTGTGATCTGGCAGGCCAAGGAAGAGTTCGACTAGCTCGCAGATAGTTCATAGCAACACGTGCCGTATGTGGTCAGGCATTATCCTGCTGAAAAACCAGCCCAGGACGCTGCAAAAGGAACGGTAGCAAAACAGGTCTTAGGATGTCGTCGACGTACCGCTGCGCAGTAAGTGTACCTCTAATGACGACCAAAGGGGCCCGGCTGTCAAAGGAAATGGAGCCCCAGACCATAATGCCTTGTTGAGGGCCGGTGTGGCGTGCAATAGTGAAGGCAGGATCCCCCCTCTGCCCTGTTCGTCTCCAAACACGTCTTCGATTATCGTCAGGACACAGTTGAAAGCGGGATTCGTCGCTAAAGACTATACGTCTCCAGTCGGAATCATTCCAGCTATATCTGTTCAAGACATTCATGCATAAGAAATTTCAAAGCAATCGGATGATTGCTTCTTGGTGCGTCGATTTTTTTGTTATAGAGTGTATATATTTCTTTCTGCTAGTTAATTGAAAACTTGTACATAATTGAAAGTCGAATGCTGCCAGTATTAATTAAAATTTTTGTTATTTCTTCACAGATGTGGTGTAGGCCTCGTCTATGTGACCTAGGTCCAAACTCATCGAGATGGTCACTATGCCCATCTAGTCAAACGTGTACTCCTATCAATTCAGACACGTGTTTCACGCCTCCTTGCGGATTGCGAGGAAGATGCACGTCCAGCCACAACAACTCAAACGCTTTGAGCCAGGAAGTTGCACCATTTGAGCAGTGCAAACCAAATGAGGCTACTCTCAGCAATAACTGTGCAAAAATTACCCTCCTCTTCGACAAGAACCAAATTCCTAATGTAAGTTTCCTTCCAAATAATTCTTATAAAAACTAATCAAATTAATAATGGAATTTTAATTTTACTTTTTTCTTCTTTCTAGGGTGTACACGTGGAAGAAATTTGCTATCAAGTACGGAAGCTACCATTATCTTTCATTCTCCTGAATATCAAAAGTGCAGATACCATCTTTATCTTGTGTGGCATCAAAGTTAATGAAGAAGATAGTGTAGAAGTCACAATTGTAAGTAAACTCTGTACTTTCAAATGAGGTACTTTTATACCAGGGGTTTCCAACTTACATGAGGCCGTGGGCCACAATTAAAAACACCAGTCAAATGGCGGGACGCAACTTTATAAAAATTTTATATAGGACTATTTTATGTTTGAAAGAACATTAAATATTACTGTCAGACTTTTATCAAGTTGTACAAAACAAAAGTATTGAATTACAAATTAAAATAAGAAGTAGATTTTTACCTGAGAAAATTTTTTTTTTGTACCGTTGGTATGTTAAATTTCACGAAGAAATTAGGTTTTTTTTAACGAAGGAAAAGTATTTGAAAACCGTACAGTTTTTAACGGAAATTGTCCATTAAAAAAAATGACAACTAATATATTTTAGCTCATGGGCCGCAAAAATAAGGCTTCGCGGGCCGCCAGTTGGAATCCACTGTTTTACAATAACACGATCACAGAGCCACTGCCTAACTACGTCATAGGCCACTGCGTGGCAGAGGTGTCGTGAAGAGTTTGACTATTATCTGATACTTTATTTGCGTATAGGCATTACTTATTTTGTTCTCCTTTAAATAAAACCGTTCTTCCCTTTAATTATTTTTATCAGTGTGCTTTGATAATTTACGGATTAGTTACTTTGCGTATGTGGTTAAATTGAGCAAGACAAATTTCTTAAGAAATATTACTATAAACTTTTTAGCAATTGAGTTGTAAAGAATGATCTGAAATTTCATATTTGAACTTGCAATTTAAGAAAGTTAACATACGAACTAATAAAGGTTAGCTTTTCTTAATGAAATTGAGCAACATAAATTTCTTGAGAAATCTTACTGTAAGCATTTAAGCATTTGAATGATCTAAAAATTCCTATTTGAACTTGCAGTTTGAAAAAATAAACGGCGAGCTAATAAAAATTGGCTTTTTTTTAGCTAAAAGTTGGTTGTCACAACTTGTTATATTTTCAATCAAGTAAAAATTAAATGTAAATATTTTTTAGGAGGAAAAATTTTCTTAAAAATTTTTTAAAATATTACAATGCTGAATCATTTACCTGCGTATCGGTTCTAGAAAAATCTTAATTATTCTGCATTCCGGGTTTTAAAATTTCTTAACACTTACGACGAAGTTAGTAATAAAAAAAAGCATACTAATTAATTCTTTAACTTACATTTTTTAATGCATTCGCAAATATCATACTCAAATTATCCTCTTATGAAGAAATTTTTGTTACCTTCATTTTCAGAATTTTATTTCCTGACTACGTTCCAAAAGCACTGAAATTTCCTTCTCTTAGAGTTGTGTATTTGTGGTGTCTACGTTTTTTTAATATACTGTATTAAGAATTCAAATTTCGAAAATTAGCATGGTAATTTTAAACTGGGTATTCCGGATATTCCTTGTAAAAAATGCAGTCTTAAAATTGAAAGCATTAAGGGTGACAAATTATTGTTTACGTGATTAAAAAAAACAAACGAATAAAAGCTAATCGGAGCCTGATAAATCATTAGCGAAGAAGGTTAAATCAATATCTATGCAACATGTTTGATTGTCTATCAAAACTGAAAGGAAGTTTACTAGATATAATCACCTTTAAGTTGCTACATTATTCTAACTACATTCATTGTTTTTAATACAATCTTCTTCAATAGTGATTCGTCACATTTTGACAACTTAGTTATTTTTTGATTTCCTAAATATTAATTTGCAAAACTGAATCTGTCTTAATTTTGGACAATGTTTCTAAAATATGTTTCATATGTTTGTTATCGAACATCCTTAATACATTTGGAGATAAATAAAACATTTTTTCTTTTCATTGAGAAAAGGAAATAAAATTTGATTGTTTTTAAGTAAATCTACACAAAGCTTTTTCAAAAGTTAGAAATTATTGTTGAGATTACTTATAAAATAGTATTGTCCATGATTTACTTTTTTATTCATTTTTTCTTTTACTTTTTTTTTAGTCAACAACTGGTTTATCGACAATCAATACTTTCCATGTGGTAAGCAATATAACCAAGAAAATTGCTGATCTAATCAGCAGAAAACATCACAACACAACCTATCTATCTGGAGTAATGGAAGTCAAAGTAGAAACTTCTATGGTTAATCCTGAATACAGAGGTATGTATTACGAAAACTTAAGAATGTAGTTTAAAAAGGAATATTTTTCTAAACTTTTTCTTATATCTGTATCTAAACATTTTAATTTGCAAAGTTAGAAACATACTGTTGGATATTTCTCGGAAAAAAACGGTTGCATAAAAATTTATTTAATTCAAACAATTTTAGTTTACCATATTTAAACAAAACAGTCAAATAATTAAAAATAAGATGGTATTCAAACTACAGGGATACTCATAATTCCCTCCAGGGTTTCGAAGCGTTATAGTAAAAAAACGAAGACGAATATGGCAAAAAAGAACAAATGAAATTATTCCAAAAGTATTCAAGTTTTAATCTAAGCAGTTGCCGGTAGATGGTAGTAATATGTACCACTGAAGCCAGTTGTAGTAAAGAATTATGAATAACTCTGTATAAACTGTGGGAAAAACCGTTGATTAACTGCTTTTAAATAATACGGTTAAACAACCAGAATTCTACGGCACTAACTATACCCACCTAATGAAGTCACTTAGTTCCTTGCCGATGGGTACATATTGGGTACAAGAGGGCTAATCTGTCGATTTCTGGACATACAGAACGAGGGTTCGAATCCCAGCGTTGACACCACAATATTTCCTCAATTCCCTTCAACTAATGAAGAGTTTCTAGTATCCTGCATACCTCAATTCGTGACCCTGAGCCGTTAGAATACGATTCTCTTATTTACGCATCGATGGCAGCACCATAAATTGCTAAAATATCTCCAATGTCCAATTGAATTTTTTACGGTTTTGAAATCATGCTAGTTCTAAATAGTTTCAACTTTTTACGGTTAATTGGATGAACAGACTGCTGCCGGTTACTTTACCATAATTTCAGAATGTAAATTCTATGCATTTCAAAGTATCGGAAAAATCTGCATATGCTGTAGAAGAAACATGTTAAAATTTGCTTCTAAATTTTACAAATAATAATATCAAAATTTGAGTTGTTCAGTTTTAACTCCTGAAGTTAGTCTGATTTATGTAAAGAAGGAACACCACACACACAAACACACACTAAAGATTCTGAAAAAAATCCATTATTTTTTCTTGATTACAGGTTATACATTATACAATGTTCTGTAATAACTCTCCTTAATATGCATTTTAGGAAAACTTTCCACGTGGGGAATTTTAAAAAAAATTATTCACATTAAGAATCGCTAATCTATATTTAATCTAGGAAAGAAAAAGACATTCAGGGTTGAGGTTTTGATCGCAATCAGTTTTTGAGAAAAAAGATGCTGAAAAAAGATTATTAGAAATACTTTTAAATTCAAACCACTTATCTGATAGTTATTTTTCTTACATCCACTTTATTTGTCAGTAGTCGATAGCATTTCCGCTTTTTTTTTGCCTTCCCTTAATATAATTTTGCGAACCTCTCAAATTTGTATACTTTTCTTACCTAATTTCGATTAGAATTTAGAAAATAAAGCTTTAAGAGCAGTGATTGCAACACACCATGTATAAATTCAAATTCATTATTTATTATTTTTGCAGAAAGAAAGAGCTTCGTTCCCCTTCTCATCCTGGTGCTATGTCTGTTGATTCTCTTGCTGATAGCCAGTGGACTGGCATGGTATTACAGACACTGCTGTTGCAAGAAAAAGAGGCGAGAGGTGGACAATAATTCTTTTCCAAGAACTTACAGTTGCAAGCTCGAAAAACTGGATAAAGAAGAAAACATGAATAACATAAACAACGAAAACAAGTGCCGGCTGCACAACAACTCCGTCCAATCTGTTCCCAGAGAACTCCAATGTTCATATGTGCCGAGCGGGTCTTCCGAAATGATTGACTTTGACCCAGACAAAGTCGATTTACCAAACAAAATATACAAAACAAAACTGCCCGAAGTGTGTGTCAACTCCACAATATCTAGTGAAAAAGACTGTGAAAAGAACAACACCTTTAGAAAACTCTCGAACCACGCGAGAGACAAAGCTAGCGGTGCTGTGATTTAATATCACCATATATTTCAGCATAGATATTTATTAAATTTTTTTTTTTTGGAACTCTATTCGAAGATTCCTATCATCACCATTTTCATTTTCCATTATCATTCACACCCACGGACAATAGAGTCCCTGTAACTAATGGAGTTAGAGAGTTGAGGCAAACAGCTGCAAAATTGTCTGATAGAGATCGGAATCCGTTATGCTTTGCGACGTTTCTCTCAAAAAAATTTCTCGCTTTTCTCGAAGTTTCTCGTTTTTGAGTTAAAATCACGCTAACTGAATCAAATTTCGTTTAAGATGCATTTTTTTTTCTTTTTTTTTTCTTTTTTTTTTTCAAATCTTAAAGGCATTTGAGCCTACCCTAAAATTTCGTTTAATCATTAATTAACTTATTCAATTTCTTAAATATCAAATATCAAAATATTATTATTTTTTAGCTCATTTGCAATATTTGCTTCTAAAAATAACTTCTTATCAAGAAAACTAGTAAATATAATATAGCTTATATAATAGTATAAAGTGATAGCGATCATAGTTCTTAAAATTATTGCTTTACAAAAGATTTAACATCTACTTTGCATGTAATGTATAATTTGAATAACAAACATTAATTTTAAAAGCAAGGTAAAAAGAATATTGATAATTTAAGTATTCCACTTGTTAAAGCTACCTTGTTAATCTATGCGAAAATTCTGTTTCGTTTCTTTCCGTTTTCTCAACCAATCACTGTCTGTTGCCCAAAATGTCGTAACTTTCTAACAACGTTAGAACAAGGGACTCTAACTAACGCTAATGGACGTTGTTTTTGCTCATATTTATGAACTTATGCACCCTACGGCTCATTTGGTTTAAAGAGCGGTAATTAGTTGTGATACTGTATTTGGAACTTTTATCATTTGTCATGGTATAAGCTGTTTTTAGAAGCAGCTTCATATTTATTTTTCAATTCATTTTTATTCACTCGCTTTGTACATTTTAACAGAATTTTTTCTGCTCTCATTTTTCACTGCATTTTAATTTAGTGTCAAAACTTTATATTTTTGAAATGTGATTTTTGCACTCAATGATTTGTTCATGTACATATATATAAAAAAAGATCCTTTAAATTAGTTTGCAGGATGTTCTGTTATCCTCACCCCTACAATATATTTCTAGATTCTGAGAGGTAGTAAAAATAGAAATTATGAATCTCAAATTAGTATTTACGCCGAAGAAAAAAGATTTTAAAATTTTTTGACGAGATATTAACGATAAAAGATGAGAACATTAAACTCAGTTTTGTTGAAAATCGATTATTTGAAACAGATAAGTTTCATCTGGAAATCGGACTGTTTTTAGTGTTTCTGTCGGCCTCTATCGTGATACTTTAGATTTAGATTATATAAAGATTTCTCAAAATGTTATGGTCTGCCCTAACGCTATATGAAATTCACAACGAATGCGGGAAAAATTTCCAATAAATTTTAAAACCGACAATTATCAGAAAATAAGGTTAGGGTTACGGTAAGGCAAACGCTATGTAAAATCGCACAACTGTTTTTGTTTGTCCCCGCTTAAATATTGATTTGCAAACCTTTATGTGTATACTTTTCCAACAAAGATTATGTTTAGGTACATTAAAGGTACTGATTACATAACATCCTGTAGTTCTTACTTAAGTGTCGGGAACAATATCATATCGTGCCTTGCATTGCATTTTTCTGTATTCTGTTAATGGAGCGAAAAATAGTCAGTAAATTAATTTCTTCTTTTGAGATTGTCATTGCTAAAATTCCTCTTTGTTGATCTTTGTCTTAAGTTACTTTAAAAAATTTTAAACCCCCCTCATGATAATAACTCTTTGGCACAACACAAAGCCGCAATCATGGCCTGAAGCAGATTGGTGGTTTAAATGTGGTGCCAACAAATTACAACGTCTTTATTTTCTGTTTTCTTAGAAAATTGATCGATGTTATTCATAACGAGAGGTAACAAATAAGAAATGATAACTAAGATTTATACTTTTCCATTTCAAATATTTTTTAAATGTCAAAGAATTATCAATATATTGTAACTATAAAAAGGGCCTTTTTTGAAACTAATTTGATACAGTTAAACTTTTGCTAACCCGTGATTTTTTTTTATTGACATAATAGTTCAATGCAAATGAAATTAAAAAGGCAGTTTATATTTCATTTACAATGTAAATTGGATCAAATTAGGTGTTTACTCGTACTTGGCAGTGAACTTAATAATAACAATATGAAGTAACATAAGACGTAATTCTGCATATAAAATAATATGAAGTACTAAAATGTATTGCTCATGATCTTTAATTTTTATTTATTCTTTCATATAAAATTTTAGATCAGAGTTTGAAATCAAAAGAAAAATTTTTAATTAAATTTTAAGCAAAAAATTTGAAAATGAACAAGTAAATTGTACGCTTTTATTGTAATAATATTTATTTCAAAAACATTCGAAGCAAGTTTAAATTCAATTAGAAATAATGTAAAATTAAATAAATATGTTTCACACGGTTAAAAAATTTATTTAAAGAAATACTTTTGTAGTTATATTTCCGTTAAAGTAAAATACCACGAATTTAATATGATGCAGTAACTACAATGGTAGCTTCTTATTCATGCATGGAATAATCATACAGGGTTTGTAATATATAAAATCTATGTCATATAAAGTTTTATAACTGTTTAAAGTATAAAAGTAAATTATATTATTTCAAAAAAAGTGTGTAAAAAAGTTTTAAAAATTTGTTAAATCACTATAATGTCTTGTAGTGAAATGTATAAATTTGTAAATAGCTTTTTGTTAAATGTATGTATAAATAATTTATGAAGAGCAATGCTAATATGATTTGCACTTATATGTTGAAATTGAAAAATAAATGAAAAGATAGCAAAGTTAGTTCTTAATTCTAGCAAAGTTATATGTGTATATATGTTATAATAACTTTTAAATTGATTTCATATGCTTTATTCTTAATGAAAACATTGCAGTTGTTTCATTTATTATATGGTAACTTTTTATGAGTCAGTTTACAAAAAAAATTTTTAAAAAATATTATGCTTTTAATATGTTTAAAATTATTTTTTCTTAGTCATATGCACCATTTTTGATACTTTCTTTTTAAATCACATAACCTACAATTCGAAGCATTGTTGTAAGCCTTTTTGAAAAGAATAAAAATGCATTTTTATTGAAAATTGTTTGTTTATTCATATTTTATCAGCATTACACAGGATCAAACTTGACAGATGAATTTAACTCAGCGTGTAACGAGGGCATTTTAAATAAATGGTGATTTAATGTTTTTATCTTTAACCCATTAAACCTCAAACCTTGTTTATTACGAGCATAATTCGAATTTAGCAAGTGAATAGTTTTCATGAAACTCAGGAAAAATTTCTTTTGCTGGAGTTGTCAGAAACGAGTGTTCAATAATCCGTGAAAATTTCATAATAATTCATATAAAAAGCGCTTAAAAATCCCCTTTAGATCAAAATTTTCGAAAATTATATATAGTATATTATATATAGTACATAATATAGTATATAATTTTATATAGTATATAATTATATATAGATATGCAATGAAGAGTAACAGTATGTGAGGTCAATCATCTCGTGGCTCGATTCAAGAAGCTATGTAATTAATATGTTTAGCCAATAGTTTTAATAAACTTTTTTTTTATAAATTATGAACAAAAATTGCTTTTTTTTATTCAGCCGTAAGAAAACAAGAACGTTAAAGTTTCTTTTATGCTCAATTGAGTCATGACAATGATTTAATTAACCCCATAACTGAAATCTGTTTGGACGTAACATTTAATTGCTTGAACAGTTAGAAACAATTAAACTTTTTAAAATTATTTGAAATTAAACTTATTCTTTTATTTTGTTAAGAGCGGCAGGATAAATGAAGAAAAGTAGTGAAACTTACCATCATACTTACCATTCATACATTTAATCATATAACTTGAGTTATTTAAACAAAACAAAAATAAAATAAAGGGTAAAATATAAATTATATTGAAATATGTCCTTAAGTATACACTAAAACATATCTAGAATATATTTCCGATCAATGTATACAAAATATATTTTCCCGAAATTTTGAATAGGGTGAAGACGCTAACTTATTCGAAATAATTGACTTACAACTACTTCATTCTATTCTATTCCATTGTTTCATTCGACTTTAGAAATTTCCCTTGTAGACGGAATTGTTTAACATTCTACAAAACGTTTTTCAGAGCAGCAGTCAAAAAATAAGAAAACAAATAAATAAATAAATAAAAATGTACTGCTTTGAATTTTTTAGAAAGTTTGATAAATTATATATTATGTTTTTTTTTCTATCTAAGAGCCATAACCATTAACTTACGTAAAACTAATTTTAGTATCGCATTAAATATTTAAATTTAATATACTGTGTCATTAAATGAATAATCCTCAGAAACTAAAAGATACTAAAGATAAAAATTTCATTCTCTTCAAAAAATATGAAATTATAAATAAAAGTCGACATGTTCTGAGGATTCAAAAATTTGCGTCACGAGTTATTAACGTCTAGCGAGCTCTGAGAATGAAATGTTTGAAGCAAATAAAGAAATGTTTGAAGCAAATGTTTAGAGCTCTCAAAAGACGGAAGGACTCATTTAGACCAAAGGAACACTGTAGATAAATCCCTTTTCAAGAATACGATAAATAAATTGCTACGCATTCTTTGCATTTTGGGGATAAATTTAATCTCTATTGTGTCGATATTCTAACCACCTTGCCACATCAGGTCATCTTGATACCCGGGAATCTTGTTTTGTTCATATGAATGCTAATTATCTTGTTAACGATATTAGTTTCACATCATCTCTCCATGGAATGTGGAAATGCACTTTGCCCTTCCCGGCTATTGCGGGTAATCTAGTTTTGTTTTTATTTATTTTTTTATTTTTCCTTTCCCTCTTGGGGTACTACGGTTTTTCCAGTTTTATTTCCCCCTTTTATTTGTTTTCTCGTTGCAACTTCACGTTTCTGTTTTATATCACTTTTTTTCTTCATTTAATTCATGCGAGTCTTAAAAATGGGTGTTTATTTTCTTCATATTTCTTGAAGTCTATGAAGTTTTTACCATCAAGTATAATGAATCTTTCTTGATCATTAATTTGATCAAAAATTTATGCTGAACCAAGCAAACATCTGTAAATTATCATTTCATCAGAGTTCAAGTGGTCCTTAAAACATTTAGAAAACCTTGGCACCTATATTGAAATAAAGAAGTTATTTTTATCTTTAAAATTAAAGTTTCAAAATTTAAGATTTTGTTACCAGATATTTGAAGTTATAAATTTAAACTAATTATCTAATACTGTGGTGAATATAACCGTAATAAAAAATACATTTAACCTCTTAGTTTTGCTGCCACTATTACAGTTTCTTAAGGACTTAACGGAATTCTGTTTAAAAGGAGAATCCGCTTCAATGTATAAAAACATCAGGATGCTATTTGCAAAGTATCTTTATCTAAAGAAAGCCACGTAACTGACATATTTAGTTGAATGAAACGATTTTAAAAAAAAATGAATTATACAATATTCGTAAACATATATTTTTTAATCTTTTTAAAATGTCACATAACATTCAATAATTTCTTCAATTATAAAAGAAGGAAATATAGCTGTTTAAGAAATAAAAGAAATATCGAAAAAAAATAAGTAAAATAAATATATATGAAACTTTGTCAATGTGCATTATAATTTCTTCCTGTTAGTTTACTATGTTAGTTAGTTTAATTTTTTTTTCTGGAAAAAGCGTCTTTTGAACTCCACCCCTTTCGAGCTAATTTATAACCACAACGACCCACATACCTTCCTACATTATAATGGAACGTGCACCTCCCCTGATCTCCTATTGGTCACCTCAGATATTAGTGAAAATATAAGACGTCTTGTCGTTGCCGATCCGGATTCTGGTCATCGTCAAGTCATTGCAGAAATCTCTTTTGGCTCTCAATGCCGACAGCCAGCGTCACTCTCAAAAATTTCATGGAATTTCAAGAAAGCAAATTGGAGTCTATTTACCGCTATGCTGGAACAAGAAATCTACCCCGACTCTATTGATTTTACCCTGCGTTCTAGTAGAACTTGTGAACTTATCAATGATAGGATACTGTTTTGTGCAAAAAAGTGCATACTCAAGGGAAGAGTAATGAAATATCGTTGCTTCTGGTCGGAACAGCTCCAATATATGAAAACCAAGCGCAATAGACTAAGAGGAAAATCCGAACTAACACACAGACCCTCGGATGTTCAGGCCTGGAGAAAGCAATCTGCATTGTTTAGAAGAGCTGTGCTCGTTGAGAAACGAAATTCCTTTAACGACTTCATAGCTGGCGCCAATTATCAGAGAGATGGAAAGAAAGTATTTTAATTTCTTTCTAGAATCAAAAATGAAGGTAGACGAGCTCCTAGGCAGCCTTCCCAAGTTACTAATAAAACTATCACTACAGATACAGAAATTGCCAATGCATTCGTCAAACACTTTACGAACGCTCATCAAAAGAATACCCACGCTAGAGTATCGTCAAGGCTTCTAAAACACAAATTAACATCCCTTCTTACTGGCTATGATGCACGGCCATCTGCGCACTCCATTTTTAATTCCTTTCTCTCTGTGGAAGAGCTTATTCAGGCTATAAATTGCCTGAAAAGTGGAAAATCTCCGGGTGAAGATGGCATACTTTCTGAACTTCTTTAACATCTGGGCACCTGTAAGTTAAACACTCTTCTGCAGTTCTTCCATATAATTTGGGACTCCGGAATTGTTCCCTCTCAGTGGCGAAGATCCATAGTTATACCAATTCATAAAAAATATAAAGATCCAAAGAATTTGCTAAGTTACAGACCTATCACACTTACATGCATTATGGGAAAAACTATGGAAGGAATTGTAGCTAAAAGGCTTAGTTGGTTCCTTGAAACCAATAGTCTCCTTGCAGAAGAACAAGCTGGATTCAGACAATTCAGATCTACCAATCAACAAGTAGCATTACTCAGCCAGGCTATCAAAGATATCCTGGATAAAGGCCGAATACTTTCAGCGATTTTCATTGACCTCAAGTCTGCCTATGACACAGTTTGGACTGATAAACTCTTGCTGAAACTTGCTGATGTTGGTATCGAGAACAACATGTTTAGATGGTTTCGTGGTTTTCTCTGCCAACGTATGTGTAGGGTAAGATACTGTAGGGGATTTTCCAAATACGGTGTTCTAAAAACTGGATTACCTCAGGGTTCAGTACCCAGTTGCACCCTGTTCAATATTTACATTAATGATCTTGTCCACCAACTCAAAACGATTCCTAGGATTAGATGTCTGCTCTACTCTGACAACCTTGTGGTCTGGATGGAATCTCCCAAAAAACAAGCTGCGCAAAGGATTACTCACGGCTTGAATCGTGACCTTCGAGAATGAGAAGGCCTTACAACTCTTTCGTGACGTCACTGTACTTCGATCATTCCTCTCCGCTTGTTGCGAGCTTTTAACATGGGGAAAGATTTCCTAATATAATTATTTCTACTTTGTCTCTTCATATAATATTAGACACTCATTAAAATGCCGCAAAAATAGTTGGGAACAAGGACTGAAACCTTTTTTTCTTTCTCTTTAAATTTAATTAATAAAACTGTTAAAAGAAAAATTTGAAAACTAAAAAATTCGTGATAATCAAAAAATATGTTATCCGTACAAATATATGAATCACAGTCCTTAAGAAAAAAGTGATTTTTGGAGCTTAGATATCATTTTTGAATATTTTATTTGTGAACAGAATAAAAATTTCATATCAAATACTAAATAAAAAAAGAAACATGGTAAATCACAAAAAANATATATATATATATATATATATATATATATATATATATATATATATATATATATATATATATATATATATATATATATATATATATATATATATATATATATATATATATATATATATATATATATATATATATATATATATATATATATATATATATATATATATATATATATATATATATATATATATATATATATATATATATATATATATATATATATATATATATATATATATATATATATATATATATATATATATATATATATATATATATATATATATATATATATATATATATATATATATATATATATATATATATATATATATATATATATATATATATATATATATATATATATATATATATATATATATATATATATATATATATATATATATATATATATATATATATATATATATATATATATATATATATATATATATATATATATATATATATATATATATATATATATATATATATATATATATATATATATATATATATATATATATATATATATATATATATATATATATATATATATATATATATATATATATATATATATATATATATATATATATATATATATATATATATATATATATATATATATATATATATATATATATATATATATATATATATATATATATATATATATATATATATATATATATATATATATATATATATATATATATATATATATATATATATATATATATATATATATATATATATATATATATATATATATATATATATATATATATATATATATATATATATATATATATATATATATATATATATATATATATATATATATATATATATATATATATATATATATATATATATATATATATATATATATATATATATATATATATATATATATATATATATATATATATATATATATATATATATATATATATATATATATATATATATATATATATATATATATATATATATATATATATATATATATATATATATATATATATATATATATATATATATATATATATATATATATATATATATATATATATATATATATATATATATATATATATATATATATATATATATATATATATATATATATATATATATATATATATATATATATATATATATATATATATATATATATATATATATATATATATATATATATATATATATATATATATATATATATATATATATATATATATATATATATATATATATATATATATATATATATATATATATATATATATATATATATATATATATATATATATATATATATATATATATATATATATATATATATATATATATATATATATATATATATATATATATATATATATATATATATATATATATATATATATATATATATATATATATATATATATATATATATATATATATATATATATATATATATATATATATATATATATATATATATATATATATATATATATATATATATATATATATATATATATATATATATATATATATATATATATATATATATATATATATATATATATATATATATATATATATATATATATATATATATATATATATATATATATATATATATATATATATATATATATATATATATATATATATATATATATATATATATATATATATATATATATATATATATATATATATATATATATATATATATATATATATATATATATATATATATATATATATATATATATATATATATATATATATATATATATATATATATATATATATATATATATATATATATATATATATATATATATATATATATATATATATATATATATATATATATATATATATATATATATATATATATATATATATATATATATATATATATATATATATATATATATATATATATATATATATATATATATATATATATATATATATATATATATATATATATATATATATATATATATATATATATATATATATATATATATATATATATATATATATATATATATATATATATATATATATATATATATATATATATATATATATATATATATATATATATATATATATATATATATATATATATATATATATATATATATATATATATATATATATATATATATATATATATATATATATATATATATATATATATATATATATATATATATATATATATATATATATATATATATATATATATATATATATATATATATATATATATATATATATATATATATATATATATATATATATATATATATATATATATATATATATATATATATATATATATATATATATATATATATATATATATATATATATATATATATATATATATATATATATATATATATATATATATATATATATATATATATATATATATATATATATATATATATATATATATATATATATATATATATATATATATATATATATATATATATATATATATATATATATATATATATATATATATATATATATATATATATATATATATATATATATATATATATATATATATATATATATATATATATATATATATATATATATATATATATATATATATATATATATATATATATATATATATATATATATATATATATATATATATATATATATATATATATATATATATATATATATATATATATATATATATATATATATATATATATATATATATATATATATATATATATATATATATATATATATATATATATATATATATATATATATATATATATATATATATATATATATATATATATATATATATATATATATATATATATATATATATATATATATATATATATATATATATATATATATATATATATATATATATATATATATATATATATTATATCATCTCAGTATATATATATATATATATATATATATATATATATATATATGCTACGCTACAAGAGTAGAAGCTACAGTAGTTTCACTATTTACAGCGAGTCACTTTTAACCACTGATTTTAATAGTCAAAAATCCGAATCGGTTGGGAGAAAGATATGCTTATTCAATATTATTATTCTACTGTGTCAGAATTCTAAACCCAAAATAATGTCTGCGCAACAAACTAGTATTCAGATTTATGAAGGGAAGGCTTTCGAACCAAAATGATTGAGCCCTTGTTCTTGAAAGTCGATAATTAAGGGGATCAAAATCTATTAAATAGAACCACTTTTTTTTTTTTTTTTTTTTTTTTTTTTTTTTTTTTTTTTTTGCTGCTGTGCACTGTATCAGCTATTAGCTAGTATACTCAAGAATTAACTCAGATGTTCCTTTTAACTTACACAATTTGCTTACATTAAGTATTCAATTCATCTATATCCATAGATATAAACTAGCATTAAAGATGTTTCATTGGAATGTCACAACGACGTATATTCCGAAATTTCTTTCTCCTCATGCTATAGTGAGCCCCTTAATATTTTAACATAAAGCGTGCATTTAACTTTTATTTAATATTTGTCATACTTTTATTTACTCTTATTTATTCCCAGGATCACATATCATTTAAAAAAGAACCCAATTTTTTCAAAATTTAATTATCACCCTATTAGCAAGCAAAGGTGATATGATCGACTGTACTAATTGGCCATGATTCCGATTGCAGCGCCCACACTACACAATTACGGCAATCTCTCTGATAGCGTGTGCATGAAAGATTTTTTTCTCTCGGCTCGTTTGTTACTTTGTTTCATATAATTGAAGTGAAGTTAAATTTTGTTGTCTGTCTATTGAAGTTTTGCTTTGTGATGCTTTATTTCTATTTTTATTAATTTCAAATAAAAACTGCATAAATCATCTGAAATTATTAACTTAACCTAATCTAACTTCAAAAAGAAAGAAATATAATTAATAGTATAATTCCTCTTAGCAAGGCATAAATCTTGTGTAAAAAAATGAAACTAATGTGATAGATTTTATAACGACTTTGGGAAGTCAAAGACTTATTTTTTTTTATTATTCAATATATTTACTTCAATTTATCATGACGGAAGGTGGAACATCTCCATCAGATTCTCAATTTCAAGCAAATATTACATTTGAAAATCCCGTTTCTGTAGCTAGTATAGAAATTAGCTCAATTTTTAAAAATGAAGATAAATCAACTTTGAAATTTAAGTTGAAAGAAATTCTCCGTTGTGCTGTTTGTTTAGAACTTCGAAGATCAGCGATATTCCAGGTTATTTAAAATCTTTTTTTTCTTTCTTTCATAACTGAAACAAAACTTGTTATGAAATTCATGAAGGTTACAATGAATGTCCATATTCATTTTCGTTTTCAAAGTTAAAAAATTATATGTATTTTTTTAATTTTCTAATTATTTTTTTTAGCTTTGGTATACACCATAATGAAAAGTAAAATGTAAAGAAATATACTAAGTTGACCTATACATAGTCTGTTAGAAAGCATGTAGAATACATTTTTAGGTTCGAGAATGTTAAAATTAACATTAAAATCACAATTTTTATTCGAAAATTTCTAATAACAATCACAGTAAATATATCACAGTTCAATCATAGTAAATATATGTTATCACGAGCCTACATAACATCAAATAATAAATATGTTAGTTATTATACTTATAAAAAATTATATTATCATTGATATCTATAAATATTTGTTACAACATATTTACTTAAAATCTATTAAGAAAAATATTACTGTGCTTAAAAAAATTTGTAAGTAATAATATCGGGAAATAACCGCTAGTTAAAGAAGAAAAAAATTATTAGTTATTATGCTTATAAAATTATGGGTAATAATATACCAAATATATGTTATTATGAACTAATTTAAAATTAATTAAGAAAAATATTAAATTATAAAGTAATAGTACATTGATATAGATTACAAAAATCGATTTTATAAAACTTCTCTATCTTCATAGTGGTTTAACAATCAAATAATCTCTGTTTTACTAGATTTCACTGAAGATTTTGAATGTTTAAATACTTTCAGTTTGCCGCCATAAATGAAATCTTAGTAGTAAATTGGATTTTTTCCCCTTTAATGCATTCAGGCCGGGGTGACCCACCGGTGGGTCACGCTAGATTGTCTCATCTTGGCAGCGCACCCGAGTAAAAACTGGTAACAATAAACTTCATTTTTTAGTTTTTTTCCGGGAATAATAAAAATCCATAACTGCCAATTGTTTGTAACGGATGCAATTTTTATATTGAATTGCTTCTTTGCCGAAAATAATATTAATAATTTCCTTACAGTGATAAATTTCCTTATAGTGAATTGTTATTGTTGAGAATAGAGTAACTCCTCCCGAATATTATCTAATATTGAAATAGTTCTGCTACCAGTATTTTCTCTTTTCCCGTACCAGTATTTTCACTTTTCCCGGCGTGAACATGTTAATCAATGCTCCAGAGTAAATTGGTAATTTTTCTAAGTTTCAGTTAAAAAAAAAAAATTTAAATTAATCTTCCCGAACAGCAGTATCCTTTCCCTTGAGTGAGCATTAGTTCAAAGATAAGTTCATGCTCATTTTTCTAGGTTTCTTAGTATGAAATCTTACTATTGAGTTCTTTTTTCCCTTTAATCTATGCCCCAGAGTAAATTAGTCATTTTTCTAAGTTTCAGAAGAAAAAATTTTTTTAAATGAATCTTCCCGAACAGCAGTGTCCTTTCCCTTGAGTGAGCATTAGTTCAAAGATAAGTTCATGCTCATTTTTCTAGGTTTCTTAGTATGAAATCTTACTATTGAGTTCTTTTTTCCCTGTAATCTATGCCCCAGAGTAAATTAGTCATTTTTCTAAGTTTCAGTTAAGAAACATTATTTTTTAAATGAATCTTCCCGAACAGCAATGTCCTTTCCCTTAAGTGAGCATTACTTCAAAGATAAGTTCACGCTCATTTTTCTAGGTTTCTTAGTATGAAATCTTAGTATTAAGTTGTTTTTTTTCCCTTAATCAATGCCCCAGAGCTGGGGGGGGGGGCAACTGTGGCTCGCCGAAAGGTTTTATCTGGCCCGCGGATATAATTTTAACTTGCTGATCTGTGGCGAATATAAACAATATACATCCACTTTCTTGCCTACTTTTTTAAAGTTATTTTACTTTCATTTTTAACTAAGTACTGCTGACCTTTTAACTTTCTCTATTTTTGTTCTACAAAACATAAATTGGTGGAAATAGTTAGCACAGACAGCTTCAATTGGTAAAATGTTGAAAGCAGAAGTTCTTTATAGAATAGCTGTAGATTGGTGCCATCTGAAGCAGTTGTTTCTGAATATGCCAAAAATTGAGTTCTACAAAATCATTACCAAAAGCTAGTTTCCCAAATATTTAATGCCTAGAAAATCAGTGCTATGTTTGCTTCATTTTATTTATGTGAACAAGTGCTTTCATCTATGAACCTTAGAAAAAAAAAAATATTTTAGAAATAGAATAACAGACAAACATTTACCATTGTTCCTTAAAATAAGTACATCTTACTTGGAACTTCAATATAAGGAACTTTTAAAAATGAAATTGCAATTTTATTCATCTCATTAAATATTTATGTTAAGAATTGTATATAGTATTTTTTATATTTTAGATGTAAAATAACTTTGAACTGATATTTGAGATGTAAAATAACTTTTAGAATAAAAAAAACTTTGCCCACCTAACTTTTTATTCTTGATTTTTTGCCCTCGACCAAAAAAGTTTGCCCATCCCTGTCTCAGAGTAAATTAGTAACTTTCCTAAGTTTCAGCTAAGAAACATTTTTTTAAATGAATCTGCCTACGAGCAGCAGTGTTCTTTCCCTTGAGTAAGCATTAGTTGAAAGATAAGTTCATGCTTGTTTTTCTAGGTTTAGGCTTGGCAAATTCCAATGACATTAAGGTGAAACATTGATTGAATATTTTTTTCTCCTGACTTAGCCCAACACAAACAATTAATGTGACAGATAAAGATCAAAACTTAGAAAGATAAATTGTCGGAACTTACAAATATAATACATCTGTATTTACAAACGTAGCAAATTTATAAATTTTTTTTAAAAATTTTTATTTTTAATAACTGAACCAAAAAGATGTTTATATGTTTGTTTAAATTGTAAATAGTAAGAAAGCATATTCAAACTTTGCCTTGAACCTGAGCTCATTGTATTTGCATAAATAATGTCGTTCATCCCATCTCTAGCCTGAACTCAACTGAATCATTATCTTTAATCATTGGGATCATAAAATTAAAAAAATAAAGGCTTTTTTTATACAATACTGTTTTATTTTTTACATTCTCAATGTTAATCTGTTTTGTAAATGCTATCGAAGTATTTTCAGCAATGAAATTTGTTATTACTAATGATTTTTATTTACAGTGCAAATATGGTCATTTGATTTGTGCTGGTTGTTTTGGAGAAATCCTAAATGAAAGTCGTCTGCAAAATGAGATTGCATCTTGCCCTACTTGCCAAACCACTATTAGCAAAGATTTATGTTCTCGAAACATAGCTGTTGAACGAACCATATCAGAACTTCCAATGACTTGCCCACACTGTTCACTTGAGATTGTTCCAGAAATTTATAAAGTTCATAAAAAGAGTTTGTGTGATAAAAGGTTCGTATTTTTAAAAAAAATTTATTTGTGTAAAAAGGAAAAATAGATAAAAGAGGTAGATATAAAACATCATCACCTTTATATGAGCATAATAATGTATGGTACTTATCGCAGTGTTCCCCTTAAGCATTTTTATAGAGGCGGTCCACCCTTTATCTGCTTTTTAATCCCTATAAATGTGCTTTCTTTGCTCTTTTTGTAAAACTAAGCAATAAGCTACTATCCCTTTAAAAACACTGCCATTTTACTCATATTCCATTTAAAAAAATAAATAACTCCCCATTTAAATAAAAATTACACACCGGTAAAATTATTTGTGTTTATAGGTTTAATTTTTATTACTATTACATATATTTACTTTGTTAGGATTATTCTCAACTTGTTAAAGTTTCTCTTTTTATCAGGTATATTAATGAATTTTTTAAGTGATTTTAAAATTATTTTTTAAGTAAATATGTTTTCAAAAAAAATGCACCATTAAATGTATATTTTTTTTATAGTTTTTAGTTTAAATTATAGAGAAAATCTTTCAAGTTGTTTATCAATTAATAATTTTTTTTAGTTTAAATTTTTTTGAAACAATTTAGCTCAGAGATTGTCGTTTAGCATGCCTTTAATTATTTTTTATAAACTGCAAATTTTTCTCTTGTTTTGATTATGTGTGAGAATGACTTTTTGAAAAAGATAATTAAAATAGTATAAGAGGGTTTTTTAAAAATTGTTGAGACTCAAATTCAGTTATTGTGTAACAGTACACAATTTGATAAATTTTTACAATGTTAAGTGAATGCCCTTTCAAATTTCGAGTGCCCTGTGCTTTTTTGTCCCTAGAGAGAACTCTGCCTATTGGTTACAGGGACTGGTTTACACAGGTAACTGCTACTGATAATTCAGATAAATGTATCAAATATAACAATTATTGATGATATCAAAATAGTAAGTGGGAAATTATCCCAATAATCATTGGTAATTATAATTATTGAATACATTAATATACCAATCAATATAAAATAATATATCAAAAAGTTAATATTGCCAATATTATTGAATACATGTGTAAGTATGATATATTTTATTTGGGTTACAAAATTTCAAGCTATGTAAAAATAATGTAAATTGCAAAAATAATGTATAATGTTTCTGTTAAATATCATTTTTTTTTTAACTAAACATTTAGTTGATATTAAAATTAAGCATTATCAGTTATTTGAATTGTTCATGTTGCTAACTACTGGGAAAATAATGCGTAAGTTACTGTTCAACGTAAAAGAAATTTTTTTACTACACTTATATTACATAATATTAAAATTCTGCAATTATCAGTTATTTGGACTGTTGTTGGTGTGAAAATTTGGAAAGTAGTTGCTAACTTATAGTCCATGTGATTGAAAAGTATGTAGTATATTAATTTTGTGGTATTGATATACATTAATGTACATTTATTATCAAACAAAAAATGTATTGAGATTATCAAAAGGTTATTAAAGGATATAAACTATAAAATTAATGAAAATGCTAGTTTAAACTCTTATCACAAATCTATCCACATAATGAAAACTCATAATTTCACTGTCAAGATCAATAATCAAATGAAGAAAATTTTTAATTTGTATATTGCAATGAATAATTAATATTGAATTTTCGCTTTAATTAAGAATGTTTAATTGTGATTCCTTGTTTTTCTCTTCAACTTACAATATTTCATTAATTAATCATAGTTAACATTGTTATTAAATATTAGTTTTAACATTTTAGCTTATTATTACAGTTTCTGAATTATTTTTTGTTTGTTTTTTAACTTATAATGTATTTTAACAAGTAACCATAAGGAGGCATTCAAATATGACGTAAGCATATTTTTGGCAGTTTGAAGTCTCTTTTCCCCCTTGTCAGCAAAAGTAAATAAATTACCTGACCATTATTTTTAACTTTACTTTAGATTTTTAATGTAGTAATCTAATTTTGGGATTAAATTTAAATAAATTACTTTGAATTTACGTTTTAATACATTTTATAACATTTTTAGTTGAATATTCTTTAAGAATCTTTCGTGTTAAAAACTCTTGTCTTCTGAAATAAACTTTAACAAAGTTTTTTTTTTCCAATATTTTCTTCAAAAAATTCAACTTCTGTTTGAAATTTAAAATGTTTCCTGCTGTAATTTTTATGTTAATTTTTTTTTTCTTTTTGATTTTAAAGGAAGTTTTTAGAATAAGGGGATTTTAAATGTCTCACATATGCATTGCTCTGCTCCTCCACTCTTTTTTAGTAAAAATAATCAAATCACAAACCCGTGATGGGTGCTTGTGTAATATTTGAACTGTCATTAGTTGCATTGTCATCAAATATTGTAATTTTAACTTTTATTTGCAGCTTTTCATTTTTGCATTCTGAAATATTTTGCTTTTTAAAATTGTATTGTTTGTTTACTGCAAACTCAGGTCCCATGCTAATCATTCGCCACCTTGCCAAATGCGATAAAATTATAAATTTGGTGAATAAAATTGTGTTTTGGGTAATGATTTTTTCTACTGAAAAAAGAATAGTTAACTTGATTCAAAATTTCGCCCAGAATGAATTTTTTAAAAAAACAAATCAGTCTTTTTTATTCTATTTCAGTAATTTTTGGTACATGCGTCGCAGCATGACCAATTAAAATTTGGTCAAAATAATATAAGTCTGAAGCAAAAGTACTGTAGAATAGTTTTCTATGGGGAAAAAAATTGATCTTAAAATTTTTTAAGATTTGTGTTTGGCGAAGACTTTCTAAAATTGGAGAATACTCCTCATGTCTGGCTAATAATTTGAAATCCTTAGTGCAGGTCCTGTTTACTTTGTAAAAATATTATAAGAAAAATGTTTTATGTTTTTTTCAAAGTGATTAATATTTCTTAGAATTTTTATAAATTTCTTGTTATTATCAGAATAATTCCATCAATTTTTAATACAAAATAATATTAAGTATTTAATAATAACAAGTGAATATAGGTTACCAAATAACAGATACATTATTTACTGTTGGATATTTTACCTTATTATTCTTTTTATTTATTTATTAATGTGCTTTTACTTTTGTAAATTGTAGGCCTGCCATATGTTGCAATCATTTAATTGGCTGCCCATGGGAAGGACCTTACCTTGAAAAATACAAGCATCAAGAGCAATGTAAACAGCTTTATGCTAATGGTTATGAAATATTGAAGGCCTTAACTGCAATGGATCAGGAAAACAAAGAAGAAGTTCATCTTTATGAAAGAATATTTGAACTTCTTTCTGTTGAAAAGTTTTCTTATTTTGGTAAAGTATTTGTTTAATATTTAAAAATATTTAGGAAAATTTATTTCATTCTATATTATTAGTAAATATAAAGTAGGTAGAGTATTTGCTAAATATCTAATTTTATTTATGAATTCTGGGTACTTAATATTTGGGTGTGTCTACTTGTTCTATTGTGTGTGGATAATTGGCTGATCAAATTAAATTTTTTTCCTCTTATGCTTTTAGATTTGCAGTTCAAAGCTTCAACATGCACATGTGAAAATAAAGCTGTTACGTATGAAACATCCAAGTTTTCTGCATTTGATAATTTGTGGCTTGTGAGTGGAAATATTAAAGAAGAACCTTTTGAATTTCAATATAAGTTGATTTTGAAAACAAAATTATCAGGGTAAGCATCCAATTTTTAATACATATATATATCAGGGGTGACTGTGACACAAGGTAAAAAAAAACCTGAAAATTTTATGTGCAAAAAATTTATATCACGATAGCAATTTACCTATCATACATATTTCATATTTAACATAGCTTTTTGAAATAAGATTTATAATTAAATTACCTACCAATGAAGAATATCACATTTTTATAGTAACTAATTTCAGAAAAAACTTAGTTCTTACAAAAATCGCGATGTCAGATTTTAAAAAATTGCATGAATAGGAATCGTGATATTGAATTTTAAAATCGCGTTAATATGAATCGCGATATTGGAATTTAAAATCACTTGAATATGAATACGATTTAAAAACACATAAATATGGATCGCAATGTGCAGCTTTTAAATCACTAAAAAAATGAGAATCGGTGTTTGATATTACAAACGCATTATTGGGCTTTGAAAAAGCTAGAACTCGAATTGTGGCATTAGATTTTAAATTCATGTGAATACGAATCGCAAATATGATTTTTCAAAGGCGTAAATACAAATCATAACATTGGATTTTTAAATCATGTGATTATGAATCACAAAATGCAACTTTTAATTTAGATAAATAAAAAATCAATGTTGGTTATTCAAACCGCGTGAATAAAAACGGCTATATAAGTGGATTCCGGCGAAGTTCCAACTATTCAAAATGGCGAAAATTCGTCAAGTCAAAAGAATCAAACTGGCGGATTTCTGCCCATTTACGGAGAAATCATGTGTATGTAAGCGTCTTGTTAGGGGAAAGGGTTTTAGATTGAGGAATTAAGTGAAAATTTTGTCATAGTATAAGTCTTTGATTAGTAAAACTCTGAGAAACATTGGTCTTAAGAAATGCTGAATTTCGCGATATTCCCAGAAAAATCGTATGCCCGGCTCCTAATTTTTAGAATCGGGAGGATAATATTAAAAACCCAGAATTCAATCATCCCTGATATATTTATTGTACAATACATGTACTAAATTATAAAATAATTAATTTTACTAAATAATCTTTTTCTTATTTAGAAATAAGTTGTGGAAATTTATTTTCATGTGAAAAATTTTGATATATGTTGAGCATTCAAATATCTAATTAATGACTAAATTTGTTTAATTAAGAAATATAATTTCTACAGAAAAAATCTGAGAATTCTGATTTGAATTAACAGGTTAAATCATGTTTTATTTAATAAAGAGTTCAAATACTTAAATAGCTTATGATATGAAATATTTAAATGTTTTTTAATTATATTTCTTTAAAAACATAAACTCTACAGTAAAAATATTAGACCTGTTTATATTAAGCTTGTTTGTTAAAAAAAATATCTATTAGTTATTTATTTGATTTTTTTTAAAAATATATTTCCTATTAAACTGTGTTTTAAAAATTTTTCTTAAACTTGGTAACAGCCTATGGGGTGTAGGAAAAAACACTTTTTTTCCCAGTGTGTTATGATTAAAATATATTTCCAGTATTTTCTTATTAATAAAAAATATTTGTTTTAGATTGATGGAAAATGATTTTTAAAAGATTAAATTCTGGGAAACAAATCATTACCACTTAATATTTATCAAGTATTGTAAATATTTTTCTAAAAACATGATTATATCATCAATAGGGAACTCTATAGTGATTCAATAATTGTAGTCCATAGAATAACTTTGGTATCTACATGCCAAATTTATGAATTATTTTCTTTATTGCAGGCAAATTGGGAATTAATTTTAAATTGTGAAATGTTTGTTAAAATTAGTCCAAACTTGTGAAAACCTGTTATTTACTTAAATTACAACTGAAATGCCCTTATAAAAAAAAAAAAAGATAGAGAGAGAGGACCATTATCAGGAAAATATTATCTTTATAAATTAGTCAGGAAATTGGTTAAAATTTAGACCACTTAATTTCATTTTTTGTAATATCTCTTGAACCATTTATACAAATCATTAAGAATCACAAACAAATGTGAAAATCGTTTACCCAAAATTAATTTCATGCAAAATATATTTTTTTAGATAATTTATTATTTAATTTAATATTTGTTTATTGCTGAGGCATACAATTATTTTTATAGTTACAAATTATGTATTTGTGAGAGAGAAAAAAAATCCATAATACGAATGAGATTAGTATAATAATTTCTGTGTAATGAAGTTTTATAAAAGTCAGATTTTCAATTTTTTTTTAAAATTATTTGACTAACTCTGATTAAATTTTTGATTTTGTCATTTAAAGCTACAGAACTGTAGACTAAATTTTCTGATTCTTAATTAAACAAGGAAAACAATAGTCAAGGGACGAGATTTTCGTTATCGACAATTTCATTGATATTTATAGGATCTCTCAGGTTCCTCAATTCAAGAGTAAATTCTCCACAAAAAAAATATCAATGCATAATAAACTTAATGAAAAAAGAATTATTAAATAAACAGCAGTCGCCATAGCAACGCACGCTATGACAACTCATGCACACTCTTTGCTCTTGAAAAATTGCTTAGTTTAAATTGATGCAAACATTTGTGTCATACATAAACATATTATTCTATTTTTTTCATTATTAATTAAGTTATAAAAAATAATTATAATTTGTCGGATAAACAGGTTTTACAATTATGTGCATTTTATTTATTTTTGATTCACATTATTAGTGTTTATGAAAAACAGTGTCAGGTAACCATAGCAACCTTCTGCTCGCCTGCGCATTGCCCCATCCTCAGTTAGTTTAACGATAGATACGGATGAGAGCCGACGAAAGCTAACGCTCTGGTTTATTACAACGATTTAGTTTTTAGTGTATGTGTTTTATGTTGTTTCATTCTTAATAAACTCGTTTTGTTTTTTATTCACCATCATTTCTTCATATTAAATTAAAAAGAACCCTATAAGCAGTTTACGCAAAACATAAACACATAATGATTGAAACTTTTGACTGGTATTGTGACTACACTTTTGGGACCATATTTTTCAAACTGTGATTGCCCCTTATATTTTGAGGGTTATTCATGAAAAGTATCTGCTTTTCTAATTAAAAATAGAAATAGATCTTTGAACTATTAAGATTGTATTTTAGTATGTAAAAATCAGATCATTAGATCTAAAGTTATTAAGGTATTCCTTTTTTTACTTTGTGCACTTGCTCTACTGATTTAATACATAATATTTTTATTCTTTTACTTCCAGGCCTTTAAGCTTACATTACCTCTTAGTAAAGGGTCCTTACAGTGATATGGAGATAAAACCTCAATTACGTCATTTTACATTTACAGATAAAGCATCTGAAAGCCCTTCTAATAATTTAGTTCTTTGGTATAATACTGATTCTCTAGAAACTTTCTTCTTAGCTAAGCGTATAAATTTCCGCATTTTTTTATTTATTAATAAATAAATTGTTTCAAAGATATTTATTGTTAAAGTATTTATTGGGTTAGCAGGAAAGTGTAAAATAAAACAATTCTTTCTATACAAAAATAAAGCTTTAATCAGTCAAATCTCTCTCTCTCTCTGTTCAATTATTTTTTACCATTTTTCTGGCAACCATGATCCCATGCTCAGAGAACTTCGAGTCCTAATCAGCAAAAATCAGAACCAAGTGCAATTTGAGATCATTGTTATTATTTAAATTTAAAGAAATTTTCAAACTTCAAAATAAAGGATTATCCAACAATGCAAAGTCAGGGTTATTTGGGGTGAGGTGTAACTCACATCCCGCCCAAAAATGTTATGGTGAAACACTGTTCTTTTACTGTACTCCAAACTTGTAACTTCAGATTACTGTTTTAAAGATGACAAAATTGTTTAAATTCTAAGAATTTCAATAACCACAAATTGCACTTGGTTGAGTTTTTTGATGATAAGGACCAGATGTATGAGTGTTGGATCAAGAAGTTCCTAGAAAAATGACGAAAAGCCATCGGACAGAATTAAAGATATTTGACTGATTACTATTAATTTTTTGCATACCATAAATTAAGCTTTATTTCACATTAAAGACAAAATTACTTTCTTGTCAGCCCAATATATTTACTCATAAATTGACTACTTTTGTGTATGTCATGCATATCTTTCATTGTTGTTTTAATTGTTTAGATTAAGTTGGATAGTTTTCTCCTTGAGCGATAAAGTTAAAAAAAAAAAGTTTTAGCTATAAAATTCTTATTTAATTTTAATTAATTGTTCAAAAAGATTGTGTATGAAAGATGTACTTGAATAATATTAGAATACTATTAAATATTTTTTAGGTGTTCAAATTTTTTAAACATTACATCTTATTAATTTTCCGTGTTATTTTTTGTCCAGTACAAAGTTGTCTTTTACCCAGTCAATGTTGCTTGTATAGTAGCTTTTATTTGTAAATAATTAATAAATAGCTGTAAAGAAACATGAAATATTGAATAAAAGTATTATAATTTGTCTTCTTTTTGGCCTCATAAAAGTTAAGAAATATTTTGTTTTTGGCTTCAAAGTTATTCAAATAGAGCAAAATACACTGCTCAAAGCAATTAAAGGATATTGAGGTTGCAGGTCGATCTTGCAGCTGGAAAATTGTTTGAAAGATAGATATATTATCGACAGACAATGTAGGCTATATGAGATAAAAATTAAATTTGTTCGGCAGGGGAAAAAAAGTGTTTTGTTGAGCATTTGGGTACAAAAGGAAAAAAACACAATTTGTGCATATGAGAAAAAACAAGTAAAAAAAGCATTTCTTTAAAAGAAATCATTTTTAGTCGGGGGTATGGTTTCCCCGAACCGCCAGCAACATTGAACACCTTTGAGGCATCAAGTCAATGAGAGGCTGGGGTATTCTGTCTCACTCCTCCAGAAGAGCTCTTCCCAGTTTTTGGAGAGTTTGTGGGGGTGGTAGGAGTCTAGCAATTCGTCTGCTTAATATTTCAAGCATGCTAGATTGGGTTCATGTCCAGAGAACACCCTGCCCAATCCATTCTTATGATTCCTTACTCCAGAAGGAAATCATTCCTTAAGTTAGCACAATGTGTCTGCAATTGTTGTCCATTAACATGAAGTCATCTCCAATTGCTGCAGTGTAAGGGACTACAATATGTCTCACAGGGTGTGTAGCGTTTTTAAAAAGTGATTATTTTTTATTTTCGTTTTTTAAAAGCCCTTAAGGTGCTTTTTTTCATTGGGTATTTTTAAAAAGTGCTTAATGTTTCCTTTTCCAAATTGAGATTTTTCCTTTACCATGATGATTTTTCGCTATGAATTATGCAGAAAGACATTGTTCTATTCAATGTTTTCACAATTAATTCATCCCCAATCTATTTCGGTGAATCGCCAGACCGTAGCTTATGAAAACGACATTCGATTTACATGATTCAAAAATCTTGACAATTGTCAAACACAATGCCAAAAGAATTTATTTTTTTTGTTGCCATGACTGTTAAAACCAAATAAAACTGTCAATTGTCAAAAATTTTCTAACCCTGCCTAATTATGATATTCTTTTAAAGTGCTTGAAAAGTGCTTATTTTTTGTTGAATAATTTGGCTACGCACCCTGGTCTCAGTATCTTTTACCTATATCTGCGACCGGTCAGAGCTCCATTTCGAATGGTATGGAGATCAGTGCGTCCATCAATAGAGATGCCAAGAAGATTGGCATTCATATTTCGGTTTCTCCGAGCCATTACCGTTAAATAACGGTCTTAATTGGCATTGTTGCACGTCTACACCCTGATCTTCAACCTGCATGTCCAGTCTCCAAAAAATCGTTCCAGATGCTGGAAATCACACTTTGTGAAACTCCAATGGCTTCTGCTACTTTGGCCCCCTCTCAACAACTCTTCAAGCTTTTGATTTGGCTAAATGACTTCAGTGAGACATCACACTCATCCAAGCAACATGTTTATTGAATGCCCATTGTTCTTTTCCGCTTTGCCTAACATTAAGTTGAAATTTTCAGCGGCTGAAGCTACATCAAACTGAAAATTTACGTAGTGCAAAGTTTAAAAATAAGAAAAATTTGCATTTGTGACTTTCTTCTTCCATTTTATGTAAAAAAAATTTCTTATACTGTTATTTTACACAAGACTTACAATATCCTTTAATTGCTTTCATCAGTGTAACTGAACTTAAATTCGCAAACTGTTTTTATATTAATGCGGAAACGAGAAGCATTTTTTGAGAATAAATTTTCGGTTAAAATAATTTAATTGTAATTTCATTCCCCATAACCGCCCACTTAATAGTGTCATTATATCCTCACCGTTTGTTAAAATATGAAAAACCTTAACATTTGGAAATTCTTCTTAAAGGAAGAATTCTTAAAATAAAACTAAGTGTCAATTTATCTTTATTTATTATTTTTTTTAAGTGGAAAAAACAAGCGAAGAAAAAGTTTGTATAATTTTGTCTAGGGACTTAAAAAAGTTAATTTTATTAATTTAAAATTTAATACTCTAGCATTGGATGTTTCAATCAAATTTTAGTGTTAAAATGAATATTAGGCTATAGATTTTTCTATTATATTTTAAAAATTAATTTCCCATATTGGGTACATTATTATTCAAAATTATGAGATGCAGGGTTCCCACTCAATTTCAGAAGAAAAAAAATTCCTGACTTTTCCAGGTAAATTTCAATGAAAGTCGAGGCCATATTTTCATCAGAAAATTTTGATCCTTTTATTTGTAATGTGAAATATTTGATTTTCTGTGTAAAAAAATATCACTAAATGAGGAAGGAAATATTTCAGTTTGACTAAAATGTGAAATTTTTATAACAAATAATTGTAACAGATGTGAGAATTATTTAAGTCGAATCTCAATAACTGATTACTGTTACTGACAATTTTAAGATTGGTTATTTTCCAGGTATGATATAGAAATATTCTAGGTTTTTGTAGAGGAATTGCAACTTTCCCTGACTATACTTTGATTTTTGGAGTCAAAATAAAATTCCCTGACGCGTGGGAACCCTGGAAATGTAAAAAGTTCATTGGTTGCATTATAATCTTGTAAATAAATTGATTGTGTCAAAGCTATTTTATGCATGCTTTAAAGTGTTCCGTAAAAATCATTATCATGGCAAACCATAAATGAAATTTACATGAAAATAAGTTAATTTGATGTTTACAAATAATTTAGTTTTTCAATCATTTATTTCAGCGACATCTATTTTGGAAACTCCTCTTTAAAAAAATTAAAATTGACAAATGTTTTATTAACTTTGTAACTAAAATTTTTTTTAAATCTTTTAACTACCTGCTAAACTTCACTTCTGTGTAACTTATTTTTCGGGGATTTTTCCCAAGAGTTTACTTTGTTGTATTTATGTATTGTATTTCTTGTCTTTTATCTGAATCACCAACTGCTCATGTGTGCAATATATATGTATAAATATACATTTTAAAAAAAATTATATTGCTAGAGGGCAAAATTAACAGTTGCTATTGCCACCAATCAATTAAATATAACAAACGACAAAAAATTGTCAGCCATTCGCAACTTTTTTTCATCGGAAATGCACCATACATGCATTTATTTTAATATATTTTTTTTAATAAATATGAATATTTTAAAATATTCTAAAAATTATTTTATTCCGTACTTAGCATTTTTTTTTTTTTTTTCCATTTTAGAAAAGAATCTTGCAACATTTGCTACACTTAAAGAAATGCATCAAATTAAATGCCTTACATTATCAATATCAACAATTTTTTAATGTTTCAAAATTTTCAATTTTTTAAAAGTTTGCCATTTATTTTAGAAGGTAAGCACTGTTCAAAGTGATAAAAATTTACCAGTAGCAAAATTCCCTAGTTTTACTCTATTTGTAATGTTAATAATATTGTACTCTTTTGTTTTGATTGAATTATTTGATGCAGAGAATACATAAATTTCTCTGTTTCCCAATATTGTGAAGTTTTTTTTTTTTTTTTTTGCAGAGTTGTTTTCATTATTTCATTTTGTAACCATGGATTACTCATGAAAAACTTTTGTCTCATGTATCAGGGGTCTATCTAGGTTTTTATGAGAGGTACCTATTTTGTGAAAATTTAGACATAATTTGTGAAAATGAAAAATTATATTAAAAAATCAACTCAAAAATATGGATTTATCGTTTCCTACGGGATACAAAAATAAAATTTTAAGAAAAAATATTTTGTGAAACTACCGTTTTTAAGTTGAATTTGTGAACGTACCGCTAAACGGTAGTAAATTTATCCTGGACTGACTCCTGTGTATGTTGTACATAATTTTGTTGTTAAATATATTGTAAATAAAATAATTTTCCAAATAATAAATGCTTCATTATTTTTGTATTAAACATTTGATAAACATCAATAAGTAATTAAAATTATTATAAATATTATACAGAATTGGAAATTAGTTAATAGTATATGAATTATAGTGTAATGAGAGAAAAAATCTCTAGTTTTTGATTGATCATTGCAGTGTTTTCATCATAGAAAAAAAAATGGGTGAGAATTTCTCACCCTTTCTCAAAAACAGGGTGAGATTTCAAAAAGTTAAGTGAGATTTCTAAGAACTAAAAAAACAAAAACTCTTGAAAAAAAAATCATTTCTTTAATTATAATACATTTTTAACGTCTTCTATTTTTTAAAGCATTGAATATTTTTGGTGCATCATAATAGAAGATTTGGCCTTTACAAGGTATTTGTCCATCGCATAATAATCGCACATAAGTGCATAAAAAATTTGAACGTCCTACATGAAGAAACCTTACCTACGGTAAACACGGTGGTTGCAGAGAAATGCGTTCTGAAAGGGGTTTCCGTGGTTGTGTTCAAAAAGTTTTTGAACAATACTGGTAAATAGGGAGGCTAGATAATGGGGCAGATGTTGAAAATAATGAAAGATCCAGGAAGAAAAGTGAAACGGATTTTATTCTAAATGGCGTAACTCGAAGCTTTTTCCAAAATGCGAGAGATTGGCGAATTTTGAAATTGATTTATAGAATGCGCGAATTTCTCGCGGTAATCATTTTTTAATGCGAGAAAAGAAAAAAATATGCGAGATTCTCGCGCTGTAGTGAAAACACTGCATTGTCATTTAAAGCCAGTCTCTTTTTTTCTTTTTAAGAAAATTTTTTTTCCTATTTATAAGGTAAGTAGAAAAAATTAAAATTTTTAAGCACTCAAAAAAATTATTTTTAAACTTATATTGTAACAGTGCAAACTCAAATTATATCTGAAAAACAGTATATTCATAGTTCTTAATCATAAAGATGAATACAATTATTATTTTTTTTAATGAAAAAATCCTCAATTAAAATATAAAGCTTATTCAAAAAATTTGTAACTACTACAAATAAGCATTGATGTAGGGCATTGTATATAACTAACATGATACCCACATTATCAGAAGTAATATTGGCAAATATGCCCAAACGTCTAAGAAATTTAATCTATTCTTAAGTCCCTAACACTTAGGTTTTAACAGACATTACCAATTCGCTATTTTTTCACCTCTTTTAGTACCTTTTTTTTTTCTTTCTACTAGGCATCTTGGTGAAATGTTGACAAATTTTGAAAGGATATTGAAGAGGTATGTCTAATTAGATATTTAATTCCTAGCAGGGCATATAAGAAACCGACACCCAATAAGATTTTTTACTCTCCCTGGATATGTCAGGCAACATAATTCTCAAACCTTTGAAAAAACAAAGTTAAAATTTTTATCAACATATCCGATATCACACCCTACATTGACGATATCCATGCAGTAAAATTCGTTAATGTTTGAAACTTGTAGGTACACAGATCACTTTTAGTAGATGTATTGAAACAACGGGTATTATAACATTAAATGAAATTTTACAAAACTATTTATTTAAATAAACAACTTACTTACTTATTAAAAATTAATCCTCTTTAAATCATAGGTTTTGCTAGCAATAAACATACTTTTGCAATTTAATTTTGCTTCTTCCTATAAAGTATAAAAAATTCCAAAATTGGATGCTTTTTTTTATATTTATCAAAATTGATACACAAATAAAATTATCAGAATAATGACTCACATATTTTAAAAATTAAAAACATGATGTTATAAAACTTTCCAAACCTAGAAAATATTTAATAAAAAAGAAAAATAAGAGATAACACAATGAAAAGTTTTTAATTACTTTATCTGAAATACTACATGATAAATTTTTTATATCAACAATTCTTAGCAGTGGAATCTGCTGACAAATACGTAACGAAACAAAGTAATAACAGAAATGAATTATAGACTACCCACTGAAAGAATTTCAGTCAAAGTTATTGAACAAACAAAAATTTACACGAATAAATGACTAATATTATCAGAATAATTATTAAAATCTTTTCATAAAATAGGAATGTAACATTATAAACCATGTTAATCTTAAGTAACAATCAACATAAAGAGAAAAAAAATTTCAATCACTTTAACTGATACAATAACTATATTAATCATTAATGATTGTATTGATGTTCTTTCAGCAAAATTTAAACATAACTGTATTTTCTGAAGAAAAAAAAAAGTACACAATAATAATGAATGATAAATTTTATGGATACTGTGAGAATTTACGGACATGTTATACATTTAAAGGTAAATTTTCGAACTATATACGTCAAATTAAATTATGCAGTTCTACATTCTTCCTTTTGACTATTAATTCTGCTAATTACAAATTATGCATAAACAATTGATAGTATGAAGTCAAGAAGCGTTCTTATGTACAACAAGTAGCTGCTGCTTAATTAGATTCACTGTTAGAAGCATTATCAGTAACGATCAACACACATGTCTCAGTTCTCTGATGTAATTCTTCATGCTTCTTCAAAGATTGTTTACGCATAAATCCCTTATTACACTGGCCACATCTAAATGGTTTTTCTTTAGTGTGAGAGTATAAGTGTCTTTGGAGATCTCTTTTAGTAAAGAAATCCATCAAACAAACTTCACATTCAAAAGGCCTTTCTTTAGTATGAGTGAGAGAATGTCGATCTAAGTGGCCTTTTTGGTAGAAAGCTTCCTCGCAAACAGAACAAATATACGATTTTTCTTGAGTGTGAATACGGACATGAACCGTAAGCGAACCCTTACGAGAGAAACTTTTATCACAATACTCGCATGGGAAAATCTTTTCTTGAGAGTGGGTAACATGATGAGCAACAAGATTTGATTTACGCCGGAAAACTTTACCACATACATCGCATTGAAAAATCTTTCTTTCTCTGTGGCATCTACTGTGAATGTTCAGTTCACTTTTACTATAGAAACTTTCATTACAAGAATCGCAAGAAAACGGTTTCATATCAGGATGGCATATATAGTAGTGATTGTATAAATACCTCTTTTCTTTGAATTCTTTCAGACAAAGAACACACGAATGAAATTTCTCTGTTCCGTTATGGAATTCAGCATGTTTTTCAAGCTCAGTTAGGTTGGAGAAAGTTTTGTTGCATGATTTGCAGAAGTATATATTCTCATCGAGATGAATATACCGCGAAGAACTTGCTTGGCCTGCTTCATCTTGGCTTGGTTGATCTACATCTGCGTCGCAACTTTCCTCATTTTCGCACTGTTCTACTTCATGCACTTCATATATTAGTATTCTTTCTTCTTGTTGTGGTTCTGCCTCCTCAACTACCTCTTTTTTTAATAAAGAAGTCATGCTGATGTTTTGATTTTTGAAAGAAAATTACATTTAGGCTTCACGTATCCGGTTGCTTATTTCCACGCAGCAAATATCTGTTATCCTTTCATTAGCAAATTCAAGGCTCAAGGTCTTGGCTGAACTTGGTCGCAAGTAGTTGTGATGTCATCAAGGCATTCTCTGATTGGTTAATTTTGAAAGTTCCTTTTTATTTATTCTATGTAAGCTAAAAGCAAATTTATTAGAGAACGCTGTAATATATTATAGGGTTTGAGAGTAGAAAATTCAAATTTGCGAAACCAACTAAGTGAAAAAAATAACAAATATGGAATTAAACTTAAACCACTAGGATCATATTAAAAAAAAGATTAATCACTGATGATCACAAACCAATAAATTAAATTAATTTCAAACTTAAATTATTCGCAGTCGTAACGCTCGAATGCGCCATCTAGGGAGAAGATCGGTTCCATGGCTTCACCCTTTCCTTCCCTTCTCTTCTGAATTGTATGATTACGATATTTTCCCTTTCCATATAATTTTCGGTAATTAATCGTTAAAAATACTTTCTAAATTTTCAAAGACGCTTCCTTTTAGCACTATGTTTAGTGCAGTTTTTAGTTCCATGTAGTTTTCTAACTTTAAAGTTTTTCATCAGTTTGAAAATTAATCTAGAACTGTGGGAATTGAAATCATGTAAATTCCTTAACCATGGTTAAGGAATTTACATGATTTCTTTTTCAACTAGGTAATCCTCTTAATCACTTCTTAAGTGACCTGTACATGTTCTACTTTGCAGTAAAACTCTTTGATTTATTACAAGTCCCTTTTTATAGACAATATATCGATGATTGTTTCACATTGGTAAATGATGCTGTCATCGATCGTGCTTCCAATATTACGAATTTTATAGATCTCTGCATACAATTCACGTTTGAACAGAAAAATAAGTGATTACTTTTCGTTGACATTCTTACAACTAGTAGTTAAAATAAATTTCTCACTATTATTTATCGGAAACCATTTACGGTTTTACTCCCCTTCATAACTTTTTATAACATTTCCCAGTCAAAAGATAGTTGCTTTAGATGCTCTAGTTTACTAGGCTTCTAACACTTGTTCAAATAGTTAATACCTCGATGAAGAGTTCCTTTATCTTAAAGATATCGCTGTAGACAGCGGTTTTCTTTCTAATACAAGGTTCTCAAAATCTGGAAAATTAAATGAGTATAGTAGCTAATATTTTTCAAGACTACTGAAAAATGCCTGAATTTATCTTTTATTTCTATATTGCGAAATTATTCACGAGTTATTTTTGTACCCATATATATATTTTTTCTTTAAATTAAATATTTATTGACAGCTTAGAACATCTAGATATAAATCACTTTCGCTACCACTTTACAAAAGTTTCCACTTTATAAAATAAAACTTCAATAATTTGATTGTTTTAAGTTATTATGTTTACCCAAATTTTCAAATATTGAATAAATTTGAATTTAAAATCATTTTTTCCCTGTAAATAAACAAAACTTTACCAGACTTAGACACAATTGCTAATATTAATAGCTGAGGCATTTATCGAATTTCAGGTCAATGTGCTCGTGAGTATATTGGACAATGTAACTTAACCTTATTAACCTACCTAACCTCCTTACCTAACTAAACGTAACCTTAAACTTCTACTTAAAAATCACGAAAGATGAGTCCAAAACCAGATCCGATCTTCCCTCGCTCTCTACATAGTTGGATATTGGAATTCTAGTCACACGTTTAAGTTTTCTTCTGATAAAATTATTCAACAATTTTCTTCTTCTACCAAACTTAATTTTTTGGAGTCATTCCACATTTTTAAAAATTCTAATAATTTAGCTATTGATCTTTCTATAGTATTTCCCCATTTTCCAATACTTGACAGTCTATTCTTGTTTAATCTGTTGCAGATTGGGCTCCTCACACCTATTTCTTTCCTTTTATAATAACTGTCATTCAATTATTTTCTGTTCTGTCTTGTAAATAAACAAGCTTTTCTGTATCGTACACTAACTTCTTCTACTTATGATTTGCTTGTTTTTTGAATATTAACGTAGAGACCATAATGTACATTCATTTTTTTTCCATAATTGATAGAAATTTTAAAAGCATGTAATTAAATAACAGTCTTTGGAAACACCATATTTACAACAAGGAAGTAAGTAACAATAAATAAAATATTAAATATGAAATGAAGAGTTTCTTGAGTATAACTGAAGAGTTTCTTGAGTATGGGTACTTATTCCGTTCCAAGACTAAAAATTTCATTATGAGCATGATAAATCATTTGCCAATCTGCCATTAGTTTTCAGCTGTCAATCTACAAATGAAAGCTAAATAATTATCAAAATTGGTGTCGACTAAATCTGCAGTCACTGCTATCTTTCGCATGAATTTTATACTGGAGTTTTAAATACTTATTTCGCTGAAAACGTTTTTCACATATATTACATGTATATGGTTTTTCTCCACAGCGAACAACAATATGCTTCTTTAAAGAGTCTTCAATGGCAAAACTTTTATTACAAATGGCGCTAATATGTTGATGAATCGAAGAATGCCTGATTAAGGCATGGTGTTTAGAAAAACATTTGTTGCATATATCACAAACAAAAGGGTTTTTTCTTCTTCCCCAAAATGAACTGCAAAGTAATATTTTAAATCACAGCATGAATTTAAAAGTTTTCTGACGCATCTTTCAAATGTAAGGTTTTTATCTATCTTTAGTACGATAACAATCATGAATTTTTAAGTGAGCTTCATAAGTTCCCTCCCCCCATATTTGCAACTTAAATGGCTACTATAATGTCGTTTAAAAAATAAAAAAACTTCCTACCTAACGTTTTATTACAAACAGTACAAGTATAGGATTTTTCTTTGGTATGAACAATGTCGTGTTTATTTAACTGATGTTTGTTCGAAAAACTTACAAACACACTTCACATGCAAGAGGTTTTTCACCTGTATGAACAGACAAATGTAATTTTAACCCCATATTATTTTTAAAAGTTTTACTACACAAAGGGCAAGAAAAAGGAAGTTCTGTTTTTACAATATACTAAAATAAGCTATCTTAAACATTAGTTTCTTCGAGAGGATTTTTGAAATCTCTTGTTTTCTGGCAAATAAGAAGACGACATCATAGGAGTCACATTTTCTTGGCATTCACAATTTTTTCTCGCAGGATTGCTTAGAGTTATATTTACTTCAACCCTTGTTTTTTCTCCAAATAGAACAATTTGTCGGCTAATTAAATCATCTTTATTGGAAAAACCTATAGTACAGAGAGTGCATGCATATTTATCATTTTTATGAACTAAGTAGTACTTCTTTGAAATATATTTCCTTGAAAAACCTTATAACATACTTTCCAAATAGAAAGGTTTTTCTTTGTTGCGCAAACGAGAATTACCTTTTGAGATAATTTGAGAAGTAACATCTTTTCCTCAAGTATAAGCGTTGAAAGCCTTACATACATTGCAAGAGTAAGATTTTCTTCTATCTTTAGTGTAACAAACATGAGTTTTTAAGCAAGCTCCATCTTAAAAAAATTTCACAGTTGCTACAAGTACTACTTATTCTTAAATATTACAATATATTCTTCAAGAAAACAATAAATCAAATTTTTATTGCACACAGTACAAGTGAATGATTTGACAAGTGAATTTCTTTGGTATGAACAAATGTGTTTTTTTTTTTTTAAATTGAAGTTTTGTTCGAAAACCATTCATACACACATCACATGTATGAGGTTTTCCGTTAGTATGAATAAGCATATGCAACTTCAGCTGTTTAGTGTTGTTACAAAAAGAATAAGGAAAAGAAATTTCAGTTTTTTTTCCTCAGACAATAGTTATCTCCAGAATCAGAATTTCGAAGAGGAATTTTGTGAAATTTCTTGTTAGGAGTTGAAGAATATTATTTTAATGAATGTCATGTTTTTTTGAGGCTAATTAAAGCCGTTTTTTCCATCATTACTTTGAGAAATACTTTTTACTACATTTCCAGTATTCCTTGAAGTTTCTCCAGAATAAATAACTTCTTGATTTGTTAAATCGCAACGAAACATAAAAAAAAACTTAAGATAACACTCAGCACATGGCAACATATAAATTTTATTTATGTTGGGAAATTAATTTGCTTAAATTTGTGGGGCGTATGTTATCGACAATGTCAACCTTTATTTATGGAAAGGTACCCCAACATCGAATCGAGTTAACAAGGCTTATATATTAGTGAATCGGAATTGTATTTTTGTAGTGATAGACAAACTACAGTACTCCCCCACCAGAATTTTTATCTGTGATAGAATTCAATGAACGGATACCACTAGTTTATTCATTGCTATATTGTGAGAAACCAGGAGAGTTGTATTAAGATCACTGTACTTTTAGATGCTGATCATGAGAGCTGTATTAAGTTCACAATCGTGGTCACTTTTTATGTTTGCCGACGTTGTGTGTGATCGAGACTGAGTAGCAAAAGCGGAATGAGGTGGATAATGTCGCAGTTACAAGTAGCAAGTCAACTATTCAATGTAAACTATCCATTTTAGTGGGCGTGTTCAAATCGAAGTGGGAGTTTCTGTTCAAGGTAGGCGCGTTATCATCAGGTCCGAAGGTCACCAATGTGGGGCGTAAGTTACTGACAATGTCAACCCTCATTTATGAAAAGGTACCTCAACATAGAACCGAGTTGACATGGCTTAAATATTAGTGAATTGGAATTGTATTTTTGCAGTGGTAGACACACTAAAAATTGATTTATGGCTCAAGATCTTTTAAAATTTACAAAATACAAAAAAGTCTTATGAATCGCTACATTATGTACAAAATTAAATAATCTGAATAATACAGCGTTTTTGAATATCTAGCCTATATATATATACTAACGCATCCCCTCATTAACATGGCAAAACCGTCTCGTTGACATATATTGGAATTCCGTTCCGGTTTCAGAATCTCATTATTGTTCACTCAATTAACCATTCATAATGTAAACATTGGGTGCTGCAAATCGATATTTAAACGAGGAAGACGAAAAAATCCAATCAAAATCTATGAAGCCTTTTTTATGAAAGTAAGATGAATAAGTTGAACATTGAAACCCGT